TTCCTATCGACTCTCTATCGACCCTATCGACTCTACACAGCCACCGTAGGCTGTTCGAAACCGTTTCCCACGCTCTATCGCCTCCGCCACCAAAGGAACAACTGATCCCTCCCTTAATTTTTCTAGGAACTTCGACGCACGGCGCGTCATACAACACATCAACACAAGACCCCTCAAGCCTCCCATACAGGCTAACCGTCTTATTACCTCTTTAGGTATCGCCGACAAGCTCACAAAGCTTGTCCCATCAAATTCAAGTCAGGTTCAATAACCGACGGCCAACTGAGCAATCCCCGACTTAGATAGCCCGGGACCTCAGGGAAGTTTCTGCAAGAAGAAGCTGAAGAATCGGTGGTACACTCCTATCACCTGAAGAATTCCCCTCGCCTCTTCGACACAGCCACTCACAACAAACTTCCGTTCGCGACAGCGGCTATAGGTAAATACACGATCGTTCACTACATCCTGCGTGTACGGTGGAGCCTGACACGCGGCTATAGATTTCAACAGGTTATGAGCCCTGTTCGCCTTCTCTGACTTTGAGAAACCTACCGATCTTTTGGCCACCGGTACATGAGCGATAACGACACGCCAATCTCGCCCGCGGATACCCAAATCCTCATCACTCCAGATCCATCGCAGACTTTGCAATCGGTTACCCCTGTCCCAACCCCCACAGTCCTTTCCCCGCCGCATACCTCTGTGATGCCCGCCGCTACGCCCGCGCCTCCGGTTTACTCTGAGATTACTAAAGTCACAAAATCCCGGATCCTTCCATGACCTCCCGGAGGACCGCCGACTGTCTCTTGCCGCTGGCAACTGGGTGACTTTTTCCGCTGAGTTCCTCAACGAACTCGGCCGTGTTTTCCTCCGCGACTATCTATGCCCCGTCGGCGCACCTCCCTGCCCCACTGTCGATGAAGCTGCCGCTGACCCCGCTCACGCTTCCATCCGACGGGCTTTCCGCCACAACGACGGTCTCCTGAAGTCTTTGCTCTGGAAGAACGTCTCACCGGAAGATCACGAGATCTGTGATCAGCATGACACCGCGCTCGCCACCTGGTTGGCCCTGAAACTTCGTCACCAGGCTGTCGGCAATAAACTTAAGGCCGAAATATGTATCTTGCTGTTCGCGATGTCTTTCTCGCCCGGTCCCAAGCAATCTGCGTCTGCGACGATCGCGACTGTGCGAGCTAATGCGCGACGTCTATTCGAGGCTGGCCTACCGAAGTCGACGGAGGACATAGTAAACATCGTCTGCATCAACGCCTTGGTCACCAACTTCCCTGACATCATGGCCAACGTTACCCATGACCTCGCCAGCCGTGCTGTCCCTACATCTGAAATCGAACACTCCGTACTTGATCACCAAAAGACACCTGTCCTCGCCAACGCCGTGCATGCTAGTACACCCAATAACGCCGGCCGCGGACGAGGAGGAGGAGATAAAAGGGACGCGCGACCTCTGGCGCACACGTACTCCAATTACCATTGCAAGATATGTGATGGCACCTGTGAAAAGAAGGGCCAAGGTACACCAGTCGGACACGGCGGCCTACCAATGTCCTCCACGGCAACCTCTTCGGCATCCAAACCAGGAGGAGCTACGCGTGTCGCAAATGCCGCGGTTGTTCAAGGTGACGACGGCAGGTTATATCAGCTCATAGAGATGCCTTCTGTGACACCCTCCACTTCATCGTCGTCGTCCATTCTGACATTCTCCGCCGCGTCCGCCGTCACCGACTGGCCACCGCACTTGTCTTTCACGTCCACACCGGACGACGGATACCTCCTTGACGCCAACTCTGGTAGCTTCAGCGACGACGATTTCGACCCTGATTTCTTCGGGAACGCTTCTGCTCACCTCGTGCTATCTGAGCTTGGGCTCTTCGATCCCATCAAGGCGTCTGTGGACTGGACATCAGTATCCAATGCCGACACCACTGATGCACACGCCCTTGCTATGTCTGCCGAGGAACGTCGCCATTCTAACGCAGACGTCAAACTCGCCGCGGCAGGCGAGTTCACGCTCGACACCAGTGCTAATATCTCCCTCACGAAATACCGCCACCTCTTCCAGACACTACGCCCGCTTCGTGTTGCGGTTGGTGGATTCAATGGCTCAAAGGTCTTCTCCGCTGGCATTGGGACTATGCGAATTGCTCTACCTGGGGGACGCCACATGCTCGTCGACAACGCTCTTTGGGTTCCTCAGACAACGCTCACGTTACTCTCGGTGGGCCGTCTCTGTGACCAGGGCTACCGTGTTGACTTCAATGCCGGTCACGCCAACATTTACTGGAAGGACCAGTCCCTCCTGGTTGCGCGTGCAACTCGCAGTGCGAACAGCCTCTACCGCCTTGATGGGCTTGGTGGTGCTGGCATTAAACACAAACCATCCCGTGACACTCCTCTTGTCGCCGCCTCCGTGGTTCCCTTATCCACCTGGCATGGCCGATTTGGACACGCCAACTACCGTGCGGTTGCGCAAGCCTCGCGCACCGCCGCAGTCGACGGTATGCCCATCACTCCTTCGCTGTCGCCCCCTCCCTCATGTGACCATTGCATTCTTGGCAAACAGACCAAGTCAAGGATGCCTAAAGTCAGGGAGGGCGCACGAGCAAAGGGGGTACTTGATGTGGTGTACGTAGACTTGCAGGGTCCTATGTCTGTACGATCTTTGTGCGGTTACTTTTATGCATTGGATATCGTCGACGACTTCTCTTCGTACGTCTGGAGTATCCCTTTAGCTCGCAAATCCGACGCACCCGCAGCCTTACAGCTATTGGAGGATGAAGTCCACCGCGAAACGGACAAGAGGGTTAAGATCTACCGTACTGACAATGGCCGCGAGTTTGATAATACTGCCATGCGCACCTGGCTCAACTCCATCGCCGCCGTCCAGCAGTTCTCGGCACCCTACTCCTCGGCCCATATCAGCATGTGCGAACGCATCCACCGAACTATCATGGGTCGTTGTCGGGCATGCCTCTCTGCGGCAAATGTCCCTCCGAGTCTCTGGGCGATCTCCATGCAATCTGCAGCGTATTTGTCTAATCTTACCCCATCTTCGTCGGTTGCTGGGCAAACCCCTCACGAGGTATTCTATGGTATCAAACCAAAAGTTTCACATCTCCGCGAAATCGGCTGCCGCGCTTTTGTTCTCATAGAGAATGTCCACAACCCTAAAGTGCTACCTCGGTCCACAGAATGTGTCTTCGTGGGCTACTCTCCAAATTCCAAAGCATACCTCTGCTGGCACCGCGCCTCCGGGAAGGTACTCAAGTCCCGCAATGTCATGTTTATCGAGTCCCACCAAAGCCCCGCCAGTTCATTACCTTCTCCAACCCCTCCTGATCCCCCCACCATGGCCGCACACCTGGACGATGACGAACCGGCAATCACCCCGGATGAAAGCCCACCGGCGACGACTACACCTCGATCGTTGTCCGCAACAACACCAACCTCGGCTGCGCGAACACGCATAGACCCATCATTACTTCCGCAGGCTCCGACCCGCCGATCTGCTCGCGAACACGGGGCACCAGGCGAACGAGACAGGGTCGCGCGCGCGGTTGCTGAAAGTAAAGCTGCTGGTGCTCGTTGCAGGGCCGAGTGTGTTTCCGGACGCGATATGTCTACCGCCGATGCTCATGCTGCGGTGGCTGCACATATACGCGACGCCATGGCGTTTGTGGCAGCTCTAGACGACCCCACTGCCGTTAATCTATGCTCTCCAGCAGACCCCCGCACAGCTCACAAGGCACGGTCACGCGACGACGGGTCCCAGTGGCAGGAGGCTATGGATGGCGAAATGGCCTCTCTGCGTAAGCTCGATGTCTACGAACTGATCCCACGCTCAGAGGTGCCCGCCGACGCAAAAATCGTGCGAACGATGCCTGTCTTCGTCCTCAAACGCGACGCGTGCGGGGATCCTGATCGATACAAATGTCGGGTGGTCTGCGACGGCAGCCAAATGGTCGAAGGTGTTCATTTCGACAAGAGCGCATCCCCAACAGCACGGCTTGAATCTGTGCACACTGTCCTTGACATCGCAGCGCGCAACGGATGGAAGTCGGCCCAACGCGACGTCAAGACAGCGTACCTCCATGGTGTCCTTGAACAGCCAGCCTATATGTATCAGCCCCGTGACATGGAGGAATTCGGCCGCGAGTCGGATATCATGAGGGTGAAAAAGTCGCTATACGGTATGAAACAGGCCGGTCGCGTCTGGAACAAATGTCTCCACACTCAAATGGTTGACTGGACGTTCATCCGCCTCGACGCTGAACACTGCATTTACTACCGTGTCACAGATGCCGGAATCATCATCGCCGCCATCTACGTCGACGATTTCGCCATCACCGCATCCAACCCTGACGAACTCAATGACTTCATTGCCGGTGTCCGTCGCGTCTGGGAGATCTCATACTGTGGCGAAATCTCCTGGATCGTTGGGATTCGCGTCGACCGCAACTACGAGATGCGTACTATTACCTTGTCGCAAGCTGCTCTTGTCGACAAAGCTGTCGAGCTTTTTGGCCAGCGCGATGCGCGCCCAGTTGGTACACCCTTACCCCCTGGCACCAAACATTCGCGCCTTGAATCCCCTGAATCTGCCGAGGACAAAGCTGCCATGGCTAAGTACCCTTACTGCAAGCTAATTGGTACCCTCATGTACCTCGCCATTGGTACGCGCCCAGATCTTGCACACGCCGTACAGCACCTGAGCCAGTTCCTTGCCAACCCTGGTCTCGCTCACTGGCACTCTGCCGTCCACGTTCTGCGGTATGTCAAGTCAACTCGCGATTTCGGCCTTGTTCTTGGCGGCAAGGAAGAGCTGCAACTGACTGGCTTGACCGACTCCGACCATGCCAATTGCCCCGACACTCGTCGATCCGTATCTGGCTACGCATTTTCTCTGGGTTCTGGCGTAATCTCTTGGGCATCTCGAAAGCAGCCAACAGTGGCAACCTCCTCATGCGAGGCAGAATATATCGCTTCTTGCAACGCGACAAAGGAGGCCGTTTGGTTGCGCCAGCTACTGGCCGGCATCGGATTCCCTCAATCCGGGCCTACTATCATCTCCGCCGACAACCAGGGGTCGAACACCATCATGGAGGATCCATCGAGTCACGGAAAAACGAAGCATATCGACGTCCAGTACCATTTCACTCGGGAGAAGGTCGCCGCTGGCGTCGTGAAGTTCGTCTACATCCGCAGCGCTGACAACACTGCCGACATTTTCACAAAAGCGTTGCCCTTACCAACTTTCATCAAATTACGGCACCAACTCGGTCTGCGCAAGATCGAGTTATGAATCCAGGAGGAGTTGGAGAAGAGGAGGAGGATTCTTCCTGGCGAGGATCGTGAGGAGTTGACGATGTGACGCCAGGAAATGACATGCACGTGCGGTGTGTTGATATGCCCGCCGTGCGCGAACGACTCTCTCCATCGTTCACTACATCCTGCGTGTACGGTGGAGGTGAGATCCGTTCTATCTACGCGACGAACTTGTATTGATATACTGCTACCTATAGCCTGACACGCGGCTATAGGTAAATACACGATCGTTCACTACATCCTGCGTGTACGGTGGAGCCTGACACGCGGCTATAGATTTCAACAGACTACACCGTGGTGCCCTTCCAGCCGGTGATTTACCTTGCATTCACATTTAGGGATTATCACTGCTTGTACGAACAACAAGGATACTGGCTCCTTTAAAACAGGCTTTTCAAGAGGTGCAGGATGCGCAGTGCCGCTCTATGTAGTAGTGTACATGGGTGCCTGATCATTGCTCCTCTGATCCACCTAATGCAAGCTATTGACCTCAAATTACGTGATTTTGAATTTCAGCCTGCTCTATGAGCTGTCGCAACGAGGCAGGACAGGAGCAAAAATTCAGGAGAAACTGCGGGGACGGCAAGCGCAAGCCGGTGGCTATGAGGGGCTGCGGTTAGGCGCCGTGTTTCTCGGCGATGAGCTCAATTCATTCTTCTTCATCCCAGTAACGTACCCTTCTCCCATACTCTCGCCCTCTTATCCTCCCCCCGTTCTCCGTTCTCTTTTCTGTCGCTGTGTCTGTCGCTCTCGTCGTCAAAGACTTGGCCTGAGTGCGGACTTGGCGGAGTACGAATGCTATAGCCCCGGCGCCTATGCTTTCTTCTGTCTTCACCTTTGCGTGTGCTGTGCTCGTCGTCGTTGGATGGCACAGCGTGTGCGCGCTCGACCCTCGAGCTCATGCGAGAAGGACGACGAACGTGCCGCCCGTGCATCGGCTCTTGCGCCGTGCAGGAAACACGACGGAGGCTGGAATCACACCCTTGGCTATATCAGATGACAAGCAGTACGTTCATCGCGCGCAATATGAATCATTGCATCCATGTAACATCGTCTCGTTGTACTGATGCAAGGGGTTGTTGATGCAGGTCGTACTACGCTGTCCTCTCCGCGGGCGGCATCTTCTTCCGCGCCGCGCTCGACACCGCGTCCGCCGACCTCTGGCTCAGCTCGTCCGAATGCGAGACGAAGACGTGCAAGGCCGTCCCGCGCTATCCGCTCTTTTACAACTCCCCCTCCTTCCAGACCGTCTCCGACAACGCGACCGCCTTCGACGTCAGCTTTTTGGACGGCACCGCTGCGTCCGGATTCGTCGCGCGCGAGGCGATCTCCGTCGCGAACATAACCGTACCCGACCAGGCGTTCGGCGTCGTCACCGAGTCCAACGTGACGATGGGCAGCGAGGTCAGCGGTATCCTCGGCCTCGGCTTTCCCCGTCTCTCAAACATCGCGGCGTCGACCGTCAACGCGACGCCGTTCATGGCTAGCCTCGCGCAGCAGGGCATGCTCAACTACCCCATCTTCTCCCTCAGCCTTACCTATAACTCGAGCGGTAGCATCGCCTTCGGTGCGCGCTCTTCCATTCATCTCGTCGAAGTCAAGAACTAATGCGAAATGTGCATATAGGCGCCGTCGACTCGGAGATCGTAACGAACGCGAGCGAGGTGGTATGGAATGAGGTTGCCGCGTTCGCGCCTTTCGGAACCGAGCGTAACACATCGGGTTACCTCGAGTGGGCGATACCGCTTCAAGGCATTGCTGTCAGTACTTGCTTTGCCAGGCTCCTGACCCTATCACTTATCCGGGAGCTGGTTAGGTGAACGGCACAGGTATCACTCCTAAACCGACCTACCCCAACGGCACCTATGATTTCTCACTCGCCTTGCTCGACATGTGAATACCTACCAACTTCGCAGTTGTTCGTGCTGACTCGTGCTCTACAGTGGTACTCCTGGCATATATGGTCCTTGGCAAGACGTGAGCTGAATTCATAGTTTACTTTCCCTTCTTACTGAGGGTAACCTATGCCAGGTTGAACGCATATATGCTCAAATCGAAAACGCGCGGCTCGTCGACCAAAGCGGCCAGTGGGTCGTACCCTGCGACATTCAAGAAAACCTCGCTTTCACCATCGGGTATGTACCCACGGTGTCCCCTCGAGGTCTAATGCGCGCTGATTTACGATGGTCATATTTAGCGGCTACAACTTCACCCTCAAGCCGACCGACTACCTCATAGGGCCCGCCTCGGGCAACCCGAATCTATGCCTCTCCTGGCCGCGCGCGAGCTCTCCCTCGTCCGATGGCGTCGACTGGCAGCTCGGCACCGCCTTCCTCCGCACGGTCTACAGCATCTTCTCGTACGGGATCGACGGCAAGGAGCCGCCGATGGTCGGCCTCTTCCCGCTCTACAACGCCTCCGCCCCGGTCCAATCGGTTGCGGAGGTTTCGGCTTTCCTGTCCTCCGCCTCAGCGACGGTCGCGACGACGCTGCCGAACTTCCTCGTGTCGACGCCGACGTTGAGCACGCCTGCATATACGTTCAACACCTCCGTCCGGGCTTCGGTTGGCGAGATCGTCACCTCCGACCTCGCGACGTCGACGTACTCGGCCGTGCTCGTCACGGCCACCGCGGCGGACGGCAAGGGCGCGTCGTCGATCCCGACCATCGAGATCTCGCCGAGCCTTCAGACGTTCGTGGTTACCGATACGGCGGGGCACACGTCCACGTCGACCAGCGTCGCGCCGTCTATCACGCTCGGTGTGATTCCCGGGCGTGGCGCGATCAGCGCCGCAAGCCGACCTCACGTAATCGTGTTATCCTCGCTGTCGATCTTCGTCCTCATCGCCGTGACGTTACTCGCATGGATATTGTAGCAGTATTTCGGCTAGCGCTCGTGCTTTCGTATCTTTATTTCCTCATTTCCCTTTCTGTCCGCATTTCTTCTCTTAGCATCTTTCGCATCTCCTTGGACTGGACTATCCGTATGTTTGGTAGCCACTCTGTTACTCAGCAGCGCATCATCTCATATTTTTGAACTCTCTCGACTTGTAAGGCTAGGCATTTGAGTGCCAAGCTAGGAAGTTCGCGATCCTTCCTCTCCCTCCTTCACGCTGCCCTCGTACTCCTTCCACCACTCCGGCTTGATCGCCTCGCGCTCGGTCATGAGCGCCCGCACCCGGTCCTCGAGCGAGCGCTTCAATTTGGTCGGCTCCTTATCTACGATCGAGTCGCTCTTGCCGCTCCGCAACAAGTCGAGCCTGATGGTGTGCGCGCCGTCGACTGCTGAGATGGTCTGGGCACGAGGGCATACGTTAGTAAGATCGAAGTTGCGAGTTTAAGGGAAGGTGAGACCCGCCTTGAGCACTTCCCGGAGCGCCCAGGGCGCTTCGGCCGCGTCGAGCCATCGCTCCGCCGCTACGAGCTCATCCTCGGTCCAGACGCGCACGCGCGGGTCGTCCATGTCGACGTTGTCCAGTCCAGGGACGGCGCCGAGGTCGGCAGTGGTGGCGAGCGTCTCGACCCACTCCGAGAGAGCGGGGAAGATCTTGAGCGGGTTGATGAGAGTAAGGAGTCGGAGGGATGCGAATTTATGCGGAAGGCCGCGGGAGAGAGTGAGTAGGTCGGCGGGGATGGGAGAGACGGATGAGAGGATGCGGGTGGTGATCGTCGAGTTGGTGAGGGCGGTGATGCGCTTGTTGGTTTCCCAGAGAGCGGGGGCTGTGGAGGCAGGACGGTAAGATGATGTGAGCGGGGTGGAGGAGGGAAGGCGTACCGAGGTTGTCGATGATGCGGCCCTGGAAGGGGATGGGTGTTAGCGATGGCAGGAATGGAGGAGCAACGGGACGCATTACGTCGGGGGACCAGGCTTCAAGGATGTAGGTCACGCGGAAGGAAGGGTCGTCGGCGGAGAATCCGGCACCGTTCATGAGCCAAGGAGGCAGAGTAGTGTATTGCGCGAGGTACACCGGTAACAGCACAGGGTATGCTGCGAACTGAGCGTAAACATCAGCGCAGTGCTACCGAAAACGAGTAGAGATGGACGTACGTAGTCGGCGCGGATGGTGTGCGGGGATAGAATTCGCAGGTCGTCGGAGATGCGCGCTTGCGTAGAGTCCATGGACTTGAGAGTGGAGAGGAGGGGGAGCGGCGAGAGCGCGTAAGGTAGGCAGGTGATGGCCTGTCCGTGTTGCGTCGCGAGCGCGTCTGACCATGGCTCGGATTCACGGGGAAGGGTGTTACCGTAGATGCCAAAACGGGAGAGCGGGGGAAAGTGGAAGCCTGCAGGTATAGCGTTGAGTCGCTCGTGTCCTTCTTGGACATCGTACTGGTTACTTGCCTGGCATGTACCTTGGGTTCACGTCAACTAGGGCGAAGAACGGGATCGGGAGGGCAGCAAACCTACGACCTAAAGAGTTGGACCGAGAGCGGCATTTCTTTGACCTAGATGGTATATTTCTCCCATTAGCTCTTGGGCGTCGGGGGGATTCGATTTGGACGATAGGCGCACGTTATCCGTGTTTGATACGTCGCGTATGCGCCCCTCGACCTCGGCGTCGATGAACCACGCTGGAAGGTAGAAGGCGCCGATCCGCAGAGGCTCGTTCAACTTTTGGCCCGGGCTCGGGAAGAAGCGCGCGGCGAACGCAGTGAAAAAGTTGGCATAGAGCGGTACTTTGGCATGCTGCCAGCCGACTTGGCGAATCGCCTCTTCGCGGTCGATTGCGAACGGTAGTGCTGTGAGGAAAAGGTTGAATGTGGCAGCGAGGAGAGTGGCCGAATTTGGCGGTGATGTACCTCGCACTTTCGGATGGTATGTTGAGGAGAAGCGGGTGCTAGTATAACGCCGACATATCCTTGTTGTTGCGCTCCTGGCAGGGGGCATTGCGGGCGATATTCGCATCCTCAGACATGACATAGTGTACGAGCAGGTACGAGCTCAAGCCTCCGACTGGTGTGGCACCCGCACTCACGCATGCCTTCCTCCACCAACATTACTGCAAAGTTAGTGCATCCATGGGAATACAAATTATTCTCAGCTACTTCAACAGGTAGTGCCCAACCATCACCAGCAACTCAGCTGCTCTATGATACCGGAATGCTCTTAATTTCGTAGACGGTGCAGACTATGTTATAACACCCTGTGTGCTTCATCCATGCTAACCACAGCCCGCTCAATGCGACTCCACCCAACCCGAAAGTGGAAGAATCATGCCCAAAATCCACCCTGGAAGCAAGTAACAAAGTGCCAGTGGACAACGCAGAGGTCGGCATACTCCTCCTGCGGCTCTCGGGGTATCCGCCCTTCGTATCACATCGCCACGCCTGCCTCTGGAGAATATTGGAAGAGGTGGCAGACTACGGTTTGGTGGAGCCTTGTGTACTCCTCCACTTTTCCTTGCGCACGCGTCCGACTGTTCCCATTCACATGTGCGACAACAACCAGGCCATGGACATCGTCTCCTCTCCTCGCCCACACTCGTACCCTCAAACTATGCAGCTTGCTTGTGTTTGATCATCATATCATTTCGTTGACAGACGCCCCCGCCAGCTCTCGCCTTCCGCTTGATGACAACCGCTGGACGAACCACTACAAACACGCGTCGCGAGCAGCGACCTAGTAAGTCCTTCAGGGAGTTGTTACAGGTATGTATACAATTCCAAGAAGACGAGGTTCCGCATCCACATTCCGCCTAACCTAGAGGATCCCGAGAATCATAACAATTGTTCTTAGATGCGCCAATGATCTACAGATGCTGCTGTGTGAGCGCGAGAGCCGCAATGTGAAGTGACTGCGCCTCTTCAAGGCTGGAGTCTTGGCCAAGGAGGTTGTAGTGTGCTATGAGTGCTGATTCTAGTTTACAGAAGGCAGCGCTTAGATCGCAGATTGAGATTTTATCGGAGCGGATGGATAGGATGGAGCGCCGAAGTGAGATCTCTTCTGCGAAAATCAACTCGTCGCCAGACTGATTGTAGAGCAGATGCAGGCAATCGGCGAGCTGCACGAGGCAACGCGCACGGTCATGAGGATTGCTATCTAAAGTCATCGCGAGGGTTTGCCGTTGGAGTGATATTGCTTCCTCTAAAGCACCTGACAGCGGTTCATTCGTGTGGTGCAATCGCAGGCAATCAGCAAGCTCGACAAGGGAGGCGCCGCGGGAAGGGTGCCCTTCCGGACGATGCGACAAAGCCTCGCGATGAAACATGATAGCCTCTTCAAGGACACTGACCTGACGCGACTGCCGATAGTGCAGTTGGAGACATTTTCCCAACATAAACACGGACAAGTCGCGATGGCTGTATTGCTGAGGATGTAGCGCGAGCGCCTCGCGATGGAATGAGATGGCTTCCTCGAGGGAGGTTGTGTGGCGGAAGCGTTTGAAGTGCAGTCGCCAGCACTCTCCCAGCTCATGAAGTGAGTAGCGGCGTTCGGAGTGACCCTCTGGGCGGAGGGCTAGTGCCTCTGACTGAAGTGAGATTGCTTCTTGCAGGGATGCTTCTCGACCTGAACACTCGTAATCCATCCGAAGACATGTAGCGAGCTCCGCAAGGGAGTAGCCACGGTTAGGATGTCCTTTTCCACGTATTTGAAGGGCCGCTCGTTGAAGAGATATTGCCTCCTCTAGAGCAAATTTGTCTCCGGAGTGCTTGTAACGCCATCGAAGACATTCCCCAAGTTCAGAGAGGGATAGACCACGATTCGCATTTCCCTCCGGATAGTGGGTGAGTGCCTCGCGTTGACGCGAAATTGCATCCTTAAGCGCGGCTTTGTCGCCGGTGTGGCCGTGATACCACCGAAGGCAAATACCAAGCTCGGAAAGAGCGTGTCCGCGCCGAGCCTGCCCTGTACTCCTTTCTGGAAGAAGGTGAAATACTTGACGTTTGAGCCGGATTGCCTCCTGTAAGTCTGACATCTCGCCAGAGCGTCTATAACGCATCATGAGGCAATCACTAAGCGCTGACACCGAAAAATCGAGATCTGGATGGCCTTGCGGTCGCAGAGCTACGGCTTCGCGCTGCAATGAAATGGCGTCTTCGAGAGATGATTTGTCACAGGACTGCCTGGAATGCAGCCACAAGCACTCGGTGAGTTCGGACAAGGGGAAGGCGCGATCGGGATGTTCTACCAGGCAGAGCGCAAGGGCCTCGCGTTGGAGAATTATGGCTTCCTCGAGGGCAGCATCATCGCTCCACTGAACGTGATAAAACCGCAGGCATTCACCGAGTTCGGAAAGCAAGTATCCACGGCAAGGATGCCCTTCTGGACGAAACGGCATCAGCTCGCGCTTCAATGAAATCGCGTCTTTGAGAGCACGCTTGTTAAACGTCTGCTTGTATTGCAGACAGAGGCACTCGCTCAGCTCGTGGAGGGAGTAGCGACGGTCAGGGTGGAATTCTGGACGGAGCACGAGTGCTTGGCGTTGAAGTGAAATCGCTTCCATGAGAGTTGTTTCGTTCCCTGACTGTTGATAATGCAACCGAAGACATTTTCCGAGGTGGTAAAGGGCGTAAGCATGACCAGGTTGATCTCTCGAACGGAGTGCCAGTCCTTCCCGCTGAAGAGATATAGCCTCCCCCAATTCTCCTTGAGTCGGTGAATGTCCGTGATATAGACGCAAAGACACGCTGAGCTCAGAAAGAGTGTCTCCTCGGCGAGGATGCCCAATTGGACGAAGAGCTAAAGCCTGGCGTTGGTAAACAATGGCCTCTGTGAGAATGGCTTGATCACCGTATTTCTGGTATTGAATCCGGTACAGTTTGCCGAGCAGGGAAAGGGAATGACCACGGATAGGATGCCCATGTGGCACGAGCGCAAGTTTATCCAGCTGCAGGGCTATAGCATCTTTGAGGATGGCACGGCCTCGAGAATTTCCATTGTTGCCATGCCTCAAGATCACTCGGAGCTCCGAAAGGGAGTAAGGGCGAACTCTTCGCCCTGAGGTCATGGCACAAAGTGTCAGTGGCATATATTCGTGTAAGTCATTCCGTGAACTGCTCACGAGGCTGTCCAGGACCGAAGGCCACTTTGGTGTGCGAAGCGATTTGGCCTTGTGCTTCGGATGAGGGTGTGCACACATTGAGATGGGTAAGGATATTTGATAGTCCTTTCACAAGCATGGTCGATGTTGGTCGCTCGATGGGATCCTTCCAGCATTCTTCCACAAGCTTCCACGAACCGGAGAAAACACCGCTCCCCTTCGCGGAAATGACGGGCCGTTCACCTTTCAACAAACGTGCTATCACGATATGGCGGGCAAGGCCTGGGAATGGTGGTTGGCCAGTGTGCGCCTGAACTTCCCGTTACTACCCATTCTATGAGTATGCAGCAAGTTTATTCACCTCCAAAATTGTGCAACCGAACGCGTACACATCTGTTGAGTATGTGCGGCAGCCGTTCAACTCAAATGTTTCAGGTGCGCTCCAGTTGGGGGAGCCATCAGTGGTTGTTGCTGTTCTGGGGTCATTGGTGAAGATATTCGACAGGCCAAAATCCGCGAGCTTGGGGATCCTGTCCTGGCTGACAAGAATGTTTGACTTGAATGCAGTGGAGGTCATAATTTTTCAGACATCAGGATTCACATAGGCTTAATTCACTCACACAGCGAACGTCTCCGTGTATTGTCAGCTGTGAGTGGAGGTATGCGAGCCCCTGTGCAGCCTCATACAGCTACAAATAAATGAGTAAGGAATATGGTTTGTGTGTATCCATTTACGTACCAACCGGGTGATTTCTACTTGTGATGCACGCTCCTTATTGATATATGCAAGCAAAGTTCCGTGCTCCATCCAAGGTGAGACCATACAAACACAAGGGCAAAAGCTCGTCGAATCGATACCATATAATGGCAGTACGTTCGGATGATCCAGTGATCCCCACACAACGACTTCACGATAGAATCTCTGTGAATATAAATTATCCACTGACGGATATTTACTATAGAACAGGTACAAACCTGACTCATCAACAGCGGCCCACTTTCTGGTTTGTAGACACGTAACTTCTTCAAAGCAACCACTTGGCTTTGGTAAACACCTTTGAATATGTCGCCATATCCTCCGGATGCAACCGAATCTCGTAGGATTAGCTTAACACCGGAGATGTAACACAAAGAAGGTAGGCAATGAAATGCAGTGAGCACTCCCACGAGAAGTTTGCTTATAGCCTTGCTTGACGGGGATCTTTTCATTCTTGCGTCCACGAATGCCTGCTGTCATGAGCGATCCCAGTTAATCCGGAGCTGATAACCAAGACCTACATTTTGTAGACATTCTACCAGCTTTCCAAGATCAGAAGGAAATATACAAAGTGCACCAGGTCGTGCGTTTGCGAGGTCATGGTCGAACGGCAAAGATATGCTTGCGAGTACGCGTATTCCTTCCTCGTCCACAGCTGTGCAGAACGAGGAGTCAGTATAGCTCGCTACGCAAGCAATGGCGTATCCTGACTAAACTCCATCATCGATGATGCAGGTATATTCCCACGAGATATCCAGTCTGTCTGGACGCGGTATCAGTCGTCTCTCATCTGCATAGCTCACAAAAGAATTGTATTCATCCCATTTCATGGATATGCAATCCTATGCAATGTGACCTGTTACTCACCCCTTGACGTGACATTGGACCTTTGTGTCCCATGGAAGCTACTCCGAGTCTTTTTGGTCCTCCGATCATGGTCTATGAAGCAAGCGACGAGCGACGAAAACCGTAGGAGTCATCCAGTCGAGGGTCGTCAACGCCGTGCGGAAGGCAGTTCGCAAGTCATAAACGAGCGAGAGCTCAAGAGCGGTGCGTGGGTGACACACAACTAATGGCGGCTGGGGCTCAGGCTGAATACTTGCTTAGCCTAATCTGGAACCCTGAGAGCCGGACTCGTGTTTCTCATGTAGGACGGCTCAGGGACTACATCATGATTGGCTGGCCGGATACATGGAAGCCATGCATTCCATCAGTATGGGCACATCGAATGAGAAGGCGGGGCAATGGTATTGGTAACCGTCAAAGCTGTTCAAGCCATCCTACCACAGCTGTCTCGTTCGCGGGACCTCCGGCAACAACGCAGCACCATCAGTATGGTACACAGGCATATTTCGCACTGATTCCGCCGACAACTGATGCTTACCTTGAGGTCCCGGCGGCAAACTATGTACATAGAAGGTCACCGGCGGCAAAAAGGTGACTACCGGTATAGAACTCCATCACGAAGACTCCGAAATTCGCGAGCTTCACAATCCGCCCGGATCGACGTGGACATTGGACTGTATGGATCGTCAGCACATCGGATAGAGATGATAGAACACGCAGCGACCGTCACCAAGTACGATAGATCGTGAATGGAGGGATTACATACCTTGTGCAGTTCGGTAAGGCTGGAACGGCGTGAGGAAAGGTATTGAACGTTATGAAAGAGGCTGCCATTGGGCATCCAGGGTGCTACCATGAGTGGCCTGAAGTTGACGGAGCCGAGGCGTAAAACGGTCGGACGTGGGGATGTTCCAGAGATAGCCAAACCACAAGATCATGATAGATTCGCTGCGGATATCGGTAGAGGCTCAACGAATGGTTCAAACCGGAAGGGTGAGACCACGCACATGATTGACGTGAAGACGACCAACCATGCACACTCTGGTCGAAGCGGTGTTGGCTCATACTATAGAGCGGACGTGTCCCGCACTAGTGCGAGGCCCTGGGGTCCTCTGGAGTCCGGCTGTTCCGGTATTGGGACCGCGCCGGTTAATACCTACCTGTCTGACGAACGCGCATCACTTCCAACGTGACTTCCTTGCCCAGACAGCTACAGTTGAATATGTTGCCGAATCCAACGGACACAACGGCGTCTCGAGAACTGGAAGTGGAGGTGGACGCCACGGAGGAAGAAGTTGGACGGGGGGCGATGTGATTGGACAAGGGCGCGCACAAGGATTCGCGAAAGGCTCTTGCGGAGGACCCTCTCCTATCCCGTCGATTCGACTCGAGTCAGCGTCTGTTGATGACGATAATGAGCCGGGCAATGCTAGCAGAAGATGCTCTACCTACGCTGTGCAGAAAGTCCACGAATGTTCCAATGTCAGACACCTTGATCCACAGCGCAGTGTTTGATTGACGGTTGAAGCCTCGCTAGGTGACGCCTGTTCCCGGGGTGGTCTGTCCGTTCACGAAGATATCCGAGGAGGAGAGACGCCAGGCGCTGCTGGCCGGCGTCGCGAGTGGGGCGAAGGTGAGCGAGCTGGTAAACTTGGTATCATCGATGCTGGCAAACGGAATCGAACAATGCTGGCTCGATGGCAATTAGACGCATCAATCGATCACTTATCCTGTCGCTCTGCACATACAAACGTATACAATACCTGGATTGACAGTACACGCGCACAAACGCTCGTCCTTAACAATGACCGTCTAATGATCATAGAGAGCAACGCAATTCGACATGCTGCGCACCGTCCAATCGTGGATGCATCGTATGGTGACGTAGCTAGGTCCGTATCAGAGAGCGGTGAGTCCATAATTTTCCCTGGGATGACTTCGCGCGACGATTGCCCACGGCACCGCTCAGAAGGCAAGGGAGGATATGTCGTCGTGCATCATGCTCATTGATTTCAACTTGAAGCCTGGACGCGCGAAGGAGAGGCAGTGCGATACACAGGCGCCACGCCATCCACGTCCGACGGAACACTCTAAGGGGCCGTGCCGACTTCGTGGTGGTGGTGGTGTGGTATGTGTCCCGGCTGTCCTGAAGACAGTCTCGAGCGTTCTTCCAACGCGATGGCCAAATGCTTCAGACAGCGAGCTCGATAAGGGTCTTCATCAGGGAAGAGTGCAACGGCTGCGCGGTACTGTGTGATGGCCTCGTCCAAGGCGGATTGGTCGCGCGTCCGCACGTAATGGTCATATAATGCAAGGCCGAGGTTGTTCAATGCGGAGTGGCGTTCAGGGTGCCCCTCAGGCCTCAGTGCTAGTACCGCGCGATCGAGCGCGATTACTTCCTCAAAGGCGGTCCGGTCTCTGGAGCGGCGTCCTCTGAGTAAGAGCACACGGGAGAGACTAGCGAGTGCCGTTTCGCGGGCGGAATCTCCCTCCGAACGCAGGAGGAGTGCCGCACGGTACAACACCACTGTCTCGTCGAGCACCCCCACGTCGCCGAACTCGCCATAGTGCGCCTCCAAGGTGAACGCAAGCATTTCCAGCGTCCAAAGATGGTGTGAATGTCCTTCCGGCCGAAGGATGAGTGCCTTCCGAAGGAGGACAGAAGCCTGCTGGAGGGCGTCCTTGTCGCCCGCGCGCTTATAGCGCTCCTGCATGACAACACCCAGATTGGATATCGTCCAGTGCCGCTCGGGATGTCCTTCCTGTCGTAGTTCCATTGCAACGTGATAAGCAGACACGCATTCCCGGAACGAGTCCTCGTCACCGGTATGCTTATAATGAGCTTCGAGCACAATACCGAGGATGTGAAACGCGCGATGGCGCTGGGGATGCTCCTCGGAACATTGGTCACAAACCTCGCGGCACAAAGCAATGGCCTCGTCAAGACAGTCGATATTGCGTGTTTGCTCGTACTGATCGTAGAGGGCCTTGGATAGGCTGACGAGGGCACCGTTGCGCTCCTCTTCACCTTTCTTGTGAAGTTGAAGCGCCTCCCGGTAAAGCGCGATTACCTCCGGCTCTGGAGGTCGTCCGTACGATGGGTTGAGCCCTGAAGGTGTGTGATTATCGCTCGTCATCGGAGCAGTATCTGATACAGAAGCAATGGGGTAGGGAGAAGGTGCGACAACGTTGTGCATCTTGTTAAGCAGCCTGGCCCCGGATGGTCGCAGGCCGGCAGGGCGCCAGCACTCCTCCGCAAGTGACCGCAGGGCAGCCGAAGCTTCGCAACCCTGCGGCCATTGGGGCCTCGCCCCCGAAATGACTTTTGCAACCACGGCGAACTCCTTGAGTTCAGGCAAGGGTGGTTGTCCAGTATGTGCCTATCTCAAGAAATGGTTAATGTTGTCCAATGCGAGGATGGTGTCAGGGTTCACCTCCAGACAGGTGCATCCAAAAGCGTATATGTCACTTTGACGAGTCCGGTGAGCATCCGCCGACGTGAATAGTTCCGGCGCGCTCCATCTGTAGGACCCTGCACTCGTTGTAGCTGTTGTGGCCCTTTCCGCGAGTAAAATGGAAAGCCCGAAGTCCGCGAGTTTTGCATATCCGCTCCGATCAATGAGGACGTTGGACTGTAGGGCCATCAGGCACGACGCACAGAATGACAGACAGCTCCCTGATACTCACGCAGCGAACATCTCCGTGTACGATAGACCGTGAGTGAAGATAATCTATCGCCTGAGCAGTCTCGTAGAGCTATAAATATGTTAGAATGACAGTTCATACCTGAGAGGACTGACTGACGAGCTTATTGATGTCCCACTCCGACCTGTTACCCTGCTGAACGTATTGTAGAAGGCTCCCGTTGTGCATCCAGGGCGCAACCATGCACACAAGTGGACTGAAGTTAAACGCCTCAACACCATAGAACGGGAGAACATGAGGGTGGTCTAGGGACTGCCAGACCACAATTTCACGATAGAGCCGCTGTGTGTTCCGATGGAGAGTCAGTGACTTATATGATCCGAGACACGTTCACGTACAGGGCTGACATGGACCAAACCATTCTCCTCTTGGCGAACGCGTATTCTCTTCAAGGCAACTTCCTTGCCGAGATAAGTGCCCTTGAAGATGTCACCAAAGCCACCAGAAGCGACGGCGTCTCGGGATTGGAGGTGAACACCGTGGATAAAAAGGTTGGACGGGAGACGGTGGAACTGTATGAGGGCCCGTACGAGAATACGAGAGAGGCTTTTGCGAAAGGTATCGTCGTGTCCTCCGAGATCCGCTTCGGTCAGTGTCTGCATTTGAACACGACGAATAAGGAGATGCGGGCTGGAGTCCAGACGACACTGCGTACCCTCTGTAGGATGTCCACGAAGCTTCCAACATCTGACGCCTCAATCCAAAGGATATTCGGTGGGTCAGATAGCCGGTGTTTGATCGGCAACTGAAGTCTTGAGAGTGTACATCCATCATCTTCGCCCAGAGCTTGATGGACAGTACAGGTCAGCGGCGAGCTCTACATAACTGGTGATGACATACTGAACTCAACAAGATCCTCTTGTACAAACGAGACCGGTGCATCCAATGATAATCGCGCCGCGTCGGCTGGCCGCGCCCCGCGGAAAAATCCTAACAGTTTCCGTGGTTTCGACGAAGGCATGCAGCGTCACGAAGAAACACCGCGCTGAGTGCTCTCTCGCGAGGCAAAAGACGACTAACGGTGGGTGGGCGCCAGTTCGGCGAACCGTGCATGCTGTATTGATTTGACAATGCTGGGAGGAGACCGCTGAGTCAGAACAAGCTGCTCGCCATTAGGGTCGGTTGCGTACAAGGGGACGCATTTCCTCGAATCATCATGAAGGCGCTATACATATAGTCGTTTCCTGTCGAGCTCCTGGATGTCATCTTTGACTATGCGTGCTTGGATGCTGGTAGCACCGGCCGGACGTTATCCAGCGTCTCGTAAGGTCGTGCACGCAGCGTCGGCGGGCAACAAATATATAACGGTATCGTTCGGAAGCTCATCGCGTTCCCCGACCAGTTTCTGCCCTCCCCATTTCATCCCCCACGCATTGCGCTCAGGAGTCACTACATCGCTATGATCCTCAGGATGAAGCCAAGCTCTGAACCAACCGCCACCAACGATATCCACATAGAACACGTTCTCATTTCAGCAAGTGTTGGCTGTCCCGCCGGCGCCTGACTACACGTCGTTCTTGGACATGTCGCGTTCACGCTGTTTGGCCGATATGCAGGGAATCGAGCGTGCTTGCCTACCGATGAAAGAATTTGGAGGTGGCGCATTAGATTCGGGGGTCTTACTTGGAGTAGATCATTCTTCGTCGGCTGCATTCCTAATTCGTTCATCATAGTATTTGTGGTATGGACCATGTATTATGTTGAAGTGCGTTTGAGACGAAGCTCGTGATGATCAGCCAATAAGTACGCTGTTCAATTCTGTGGACGTTGTCGTCGACGGCTCGATCTAACCGGGCCGGGACCACCCACGGCAGTGCCCGTAGGTACCCGTGTGCACTCTTCCAGTAATTCCCGATATTTTTGTTCGACTGTGTACCCGCTGAAACACCTGGATCGTTCCAGAGCACCCGCTATGCGCTGCACCAAGCTCCGTGTAGACCGCCTCGTCCGTCCACCACTCCGTGCTTATGGGCCGCAGTCGCCATGGCCTTTCGGCCGCACGCACGTGGGGGGATGCGGACCATCCCGCGATGGCATTTGAGCTTTATATCGCCGCCCGCACCTCGCTTGATCTCCAGCATATCTGTATACTAGACACGTAACAATTCCTTCTCGATCTCCAAGATATCGGGCTCGGCGCTATGAAGCTCGCTGTGCTCACATCGGGAGGCGACAGCGCCGGTATGAACGCCGCCGTGCGTGCGGTGGTCAAGGCCGGCATCCTCAAGTGCGTCGATAATCTCGGCGCGATTGCCATTCCAGCTGTCTTCAACAGACGTGGACTGATCCGTGCTTTGATCGTAGAGGCTGCGAGACGTGGATCGTGCGGGAGGGCTACGAGGGCCTCGTCAGGGGCAACGAGGCTGCTGAGGGCGACACCGAGCCTCCTCCGGCGGCGTGCGATAACGTGCCCGTCGCGGATCCGGGCTTTGTACAAAATCTGCGTTTCGGAGATGGTGCGCTCTTACGAGACGGTACCGGTGATCTTCCTGGGAGGAGGACGCTAAAGGGACGTTACATCGTGAGGGCTGGGTGGGATGATGTTAGGGGCTGGTTTACGGAGGTGCGTTCAACAGTCTGATGCCTTAGCATGTGGACGGGACTCATTATATGCGCATTTTTCTGTCTTCTTTAGGGTGGAACGTTAATTGGGACGGCGAGGTCGAAGGCTTTCAGGACGGAGGAAGGACGGTTGCAGGCTGCGTTCAACATGATCAAGGAGGGCATTGACGCCCTCGTCGTCTGTGGGGGCGATGGTTCCCTCACGGGCGCAGACGTGTTTCGTTCCGAATGGCCCTCGCTCGTCAAAAAACTCCGCGAAGCAGGTTCGTCTCAACGTGCATCCACTCATCTCCCGCCCTGGTCTGCTCACATACGTTCTCTTCAGGCAAAATCAACGACCATCAGGTCGCTGCCCACGGACACCTGAAGATCGCCGGACTGGTGGGGTCGATCGACAACGACATGTCGCTCACGGATCTCACGATCGGCGCGCCGACGGCGCTGCAGCGCATCTGCGAGTCGATCGACAACATCAACTCGACCGCCTTCTCCCATTCGCGCGCGTTCGTGATCGAGGTCATGGGCCGCCACTGCGGCTGGCTGGCGCTCATGGCCGGCGTCGCCTGCGGCGCCGACTTCTTGTTCATCCCGGAGGACCCGCCGAGCGCGCAGATCTGGCAGGACGAGCTGTGCAAGAAGGTCAAACAGGTGAGCAGGGCTTCCTTCCGGATCCCCCACGATGAGATGGGCGGATGCTGACGCTACCCGATGTTGACAGCATAGGAGCGTGGGCAAACGCAAGACGATCGTCATCGTTGCGGAGGGCGCGATTGACGACGAGTTGAACCCCATCCAGGCCGAGGCTGTGAAGAACGTCCTCGCGGATAAGCTCGGTCTCGACACCCGCGTCACCACCCTGGGTCACACCCAGCGAGGTGGGAGGCCGGTTGCGCTTGACCGCATCTCGGTTCGTTTTCCTGGAGGGCATCATTATGCGTGATGGCTCATCGCACTGATCACAGCCCACACTGCAAGGCATGGAGGCGGTGGAAGCACTTCTCGAGGCAACGCCGACGACGCCCTCGTACATGATCGGCATGCATGAAAACAAGGTCGTTCGCGTGCCTCTCATGGAAGCTGTGGCAATCGTACGTCCCGCGACCGTATGAACAGTACTGGGACAGACTGAGCGTCTATGCGCAGACAACGTCCGTGTCGGACGCGATCACGGCCAAAGACTTCAAGAAAGCGATGTCGCTAAGAGACCCCGAGTTTATAGAAAGTCTCGACGCCTTTTTCGAGACATCAAGATGGGATCCGCACGCCCGATCGGCGAAAGAAAAGGTATGTTTGCGCGTTAATAAGTCAGGGAATCGGTACTCACTGATCCGCCGGTCCAGTGGATGCGAGTTGGGATCATGCAGTATGTTTCCTCACCTCGTCTGTTGCTGCGGTATTGACCAACGTTTCCTAGCGTCGGCGCCCCGGCAGGCGGCATGAACGCCGCAACGCGCGCTATGGTCCGGTATTGCATCCGACACGGGCACACGCCGCTGCTGATCCACAACGGGTTCCGGGGCTTGCTGGACGACGACGTCTTCGAGCCGTCCTGGCTCGGCGTCGATAACTGGGCGACGCGCGGCGGGTCCGAGCTGGGCACGAACCGGGAGCAGCCCGACGTCGACCTCGGCGCGGTCGCGTGCAAGTTCCAGGAGTACGCGTTCAGCGCGTTCGTGATGATCGGCGGCTTCGAGGCGTTCTCGTCTTTGAAGATCCTCGAGGGCGCGAGGAAGGATTACCCCGCGTTCCACGTGCCGATGGTCCACCTGCCCGCGACGATCAGCAACAACGTGCCGATGACGGAGTTTAGTCTTGGGAGCGATACGAGCTTGAACGCGCTCGTGGACGCGTGCGATGCGATCAAGCAGAGCGCGTCGGCGAGCCGGAATAGGGTGTTCGTGGTGGAGACACAGGGCGGGCAGTGCGGGTACATCGCGACGCTGGGCGCGTTGGCGGTCAGTCTGGCGTGTTACTGCGGAACGTCACCCGTACTGATTGGACGTAGACGGGCGCGACGATGGTGTACACCCCCGAGACGGGCATCAACCTTGATATGCTCCGGCAGGACGTGAAGTACATGAAGAGGCGGTTCTCGCTCGACGAGAAGGGCAAGGCGGAAGGCCGTCTGGTGATCAAGTAAGCAGGTACCTTCGGTGCCGTCATTTGAAAGGGAGTCTCATTGCTCGCAGGAACGAGGCGTCGTCGAACGTGTACAACACGGAGGTGATCACCAAGATGTTCAAAGAGGAGGGTGGCGCCCTGTTCGACTCGCGCTCGGCGTCGCTCGGGCACACGCTGCAGGGCAACATCCCGTCGCCGATGGACCGTGCGCGGGCGGTGCGTCTTGCGCTCCGGGCCATGCGCTTCCTGGAGGAGCACCACGAGACGCTGCGCGGCGTGCCGTTCAAGGCGCGCCAGGCGGCGCCCGAGTCCGCGGCGGTTATCGTTGTTCAGGGCACGGGCGTCAGGTGGGTGACGGTCGAAGAGATGACGGAGCATGCGGACATGAAGAAAAGGAGGGGGAAGACGAGCTGGTGGAGCTCGTACAAGGATCTCGTCGACATGCTCGTTGCGCGGAAACAGATCATCGGAGAGCCTAAACCCGATAGAACGCTGTAGAGGGTGAACAACGAAAGAAATGCCCGAATGTACTGTACGTATACAAGAGATAGTCTTGTCGCTCACAAGAGAACAACGAACTCCTTGCTTTTCCTTGCCGACCGACCTTGTACTCGCGGATCTGCGGGGAACAAGGGGAGGAACCCGATGTTCGCACGGTCCGGTTGAACGAGCGTCGGGATGTCACGTGACGATAGACGCACCTTTTCGTCGTTTGCGTGTCACGTCCGCCATCAACGCGAGCCCACTTCTCCCCGCCCTCGATGTCCGGCACACCATCTACTCAACGCTTCACCCACGTCCAGGCCCGGACACAAATGCCGCGGCCACCGCTGCCCATCCACAAGGCTAACCGCACACTGCTAACCCGTACGTTAACAGAACATGTCTTGCGCGACCCTCTATCTGACCCTAATTCACAGTCGATCATAACAACCTACCACCGGTCAAATTCCAGAAGATAAAGCGGCCGGAGCGCGAGGTTCTCGTGCGTATATCGCGTCGCTCGACCAGCAGACTTCCCCTCTGATCATATCGCACCGCAGGTCGGCCGCATGAAGATCCCCACCGTACGTTGTCCCTCCTCCTTTGCTCACCTTGCCCCGCGCCCCCGCTTCCTTCCGTCGACCACTGAGCCCTCCTCTCGTAGCCGAACAGTCACGCTTTTATCCTCCGACGCTACGACACGGGTGCGATCAGCATCACCACCATGTTCCGCGCCGCCTTCCCGACCGCGAGCGACGAGGAAGAGAAGGCGGAGATGGCATGGATCAAGGCCAACTACGATACCGCGGGCGCGAACGGCGGCGGCGCTAGCGCGATAAACGAGCCTCGCGTCCGTTTCGCCGGAACGTGGGCAAGCGCGGACGTCGCGATGACGATCGCGGGCTCGTATGCGATCGACCGCATCGTCGAGCACCTCGCGCGCGCGCACCCGTCGCCGGACGTCGCGTACCGCAGCGCGCCGAAGAGCGGCGGCGGCGAGCAGGTGACGCAGCTGCCGACGCCGCAGCTGTCGAAGAGCGACGTCGTGGCGCAGCCGCCGCCCGCGAAGCGGCGCAAGGAGGCGAGCTCGCCCGTGCGCCCCGCTGCCGCCGAGCCCGCGACGCCCGCCGCGAAACCGCCTTCTCGTCGGAGCACGCGCCTGTCGCGCTCGCCGGCGCCGGCCACGCTCCAGACCCCGCAGGCCACGCCCAGCTCGCGCCTGCCCCGTCGACGAGCGCAGCGCGAAGAGCCGCGTTCCGACCAGACCGACAACACGCTTGTAGACGACGAGGCCGCGCAGACCGACGCGCTGGTCAAGCCCACGATGCTGGAGGATATTCAGGAGCAGCGTGAGCTCATCGAAGATCTTATGGCGCAACGTCAGGCCGAGCAGGAAGCCGCTGCCGCTGCTGAGGAGGAGAAAGGGGTGGCGGAGGAAGAGGATGAGCCGAGTGAGCCAGCGCAGGGGACGAAGCGGGCACGCGAGGAGGAGGACCAGCCGCTGCAGTTTAACTTTAAGGAACCCGCGGAGCAAACGGAGGAGGTCACCGAGCGCGCGATCGTGACGAACCGGCGGGTGGGCCGGCTCGCGCAGATGAGCCCACGGAATAAACAGGTCGCGTGGGGCGCGCTCGCGTTCGCCGCCGGGCTTGGTGCTGTGTATGTGGTCCCCGTCTTTGGACGCTGGTGCGATGTTGACTGACCTTCTTTCCCTCTTGCAGATCCTTCTTGCCCAACTTTTTCTTCTAATACTCGATCATATGTTCATCTTACGCGCTGCTGTTTGCACGACGTAACATTCATGACCGCATATTTACTGTTCTGCCCCCCAAAGATGCACCCCCACGCCCTCACGCCCATACGTACACTTTATCTGCCCGCGGGCGCCTTGTTTTGTTATATATCCCTGTCTGTCCCTACTATAGTCATTGCAGTGTTTATTATCGAAGACGCACGTTTGTGCGCGTGTACTGTTACACATAACCTTGATCAACTGCTGAACAACGCCGCCATGGGGAAGTCAGGCCAAGCCCCGCAGTCGCGCTGTTGCTTCGTAACTGGATGACTTCCCGTAAGATCTGGAGCGACAGAAACACAGAATGAACAGTTCAAACCCCGATCTGTGGGTTATGCTGTACGTTTATGCCCCCGTACGGTGTGGGGCCGAAATAGACATCATAAACGCGGAGGTCCGTTGAGAAGGGCTGAGCAGCGAATGAGGAAGAAAGAAGGTCACGTGTATGACAAATTCCTGTCTGTAAACGGTCATTTTGGTCTGGAAGGGGGGGTCGACCCCCCCTTCCAGATAAAAGGTCTGTACGAGCGACTTGTAAACCGATAACTTGGCTCGTTGATGCCGATTTTTCGGCATCGCTCGCTTAGTGGATTTGTAAGCGAAATCTATTCTATTCGGCCTTACAGATCCTTACGGGAAGTCACCCACTCAAGAGGTTCACATACAGACCCCTGATGGCCGGCACGTTGGACTAGCAAGTGCGTTCTTCGTTCGCCACTACAATGTCGCTGATTTCCTTCGATCCAGTCCCACTTCTGCTGTCGAGGACTCGCGTGTGAGCTTACTCGTTGCACCTGGCGGACGACCATTCCGCTTTATCGCCATCCCTGCAACTGGTGTTCCCAAGGGTATCTCGTGCGCCATCGGGTGCCTCATATGCTCGGTATGGTACCTGGGGAACACTATGCATACTGAGGACTCCGAGACCGTGTCTCACTGCCTGCTTAATGCCGAAACGGATCATCGTTGAAAGGAGCTATTTGCATGCAATGTGAAGCCGAGCTCAGATCATTGCGCAGAATCTGAGTACACGCTACTCGAAGAGCCAATCACCACATAAATGCGAAGCGAATCTTACCAGATCCCGACATGCTTAGGAGTACGTTCAGCTTTCCAGACCGCTGCTCTGACTTTCTGAGTCGTACGTTCCTCTCACGAACGCGATTGGTGTCACCTGACGAAGACGAGATTGAGTTACAGGAGCAGGCTGATGGGCTTCTCCGTCTGCGATTTACCACTTGTCCGGCGTCAGCGAGTCTGAGCCCCGCCTCGGCTTGTCCTACTCCCTCCTTCGATCCCTTTCTCTTCGAGCTGAAAGGCACGGTGAAGTAATCTTCCGGGGTGTGCCGAAGACCGCTTCGCGCGTTCAGGCCGGCGAGTAGAGCGTTGAAGAAAACTGAATTTGTGATACGACGATCAGATAATCTGTAAGGGTTTTGGCAATGCGCAGAACTCACGCTTGCTCAAGATCATGTAGAAACTACGGGAGTGAACGCGGCAAGCCGGAGCGTCAGGACTGTAGATTAATGACACGATCGGACACAGTGCTACGCACACCATGAAGATAAAGGTGTCCCGTATCACTGAATACTAGAGTTGTGTCAGTCTCCGGGACAGATGTGCGGTTGGAATGTGCGAACACATATAACAGCCGCTACAGCGCACAGGCTGTTGACTAAACGTAAGCGATCCAGTAGATTGCCTTCGCAAAGTCAATCGTCATACCTTGTCAAGACCCCAGTGCTGATACCGTACATGATCAGCTTCGTTATGATTCCGTCAGAACTGGAGAGAACGTTAGACATTGAACGCGGTTGGAGACGAAGGCTTTAGATACGTTTGTAAACCAGTTTTTCTCCGATAGAGTAGGGTGCACATAGCTACCGCGAGTATTATATCGGCTGCTGCACCAGCTGAAAGGCTCGTATTGAATGTCCACTGAAATTGAAGCTGTAGTTAGTACGTAGCCCACAGAACGATGAACTCAACGAACGGTGATCGTACGATCCCAAACGTTCAACACAGAAGGTATGGTGAAACTAATCATGCTTCAATGCATCGTAGACACTTTAGATACGCCCGGAGCTTACCCATCGACGACGAACTCTGCGCTTACTTATCAGTCTCGCGCTGAGTGAGGTAGGATAAACGTACTGATCCCAGTTCCTGATAATGGTAAGCATGAGTCGGCTGTCTTCACGCAATTTATTGGGATTGGGAACGTACCAAGGGCTAGGAAGGACGTGATTGCCTGTGAACCAGGTGAGCCTGAATTTTACGTGAACTTGTAGCAAGCATACCACAATGGCCGCCAAGAGCCAGTTGTGATTGCTAACTAGATAAGCTACGATCAGCAACGAAAAGTGTGATGCTATTGGTCTTACAACTCCATACGCGCATGCAGAAGATACTGATGAATGCCGCGTCATGAGAAGCGGAGGTCATGTAAAATTGCAGAGACACACTATCGCAGTATAAGGTCACTCGCAAGCTGAACAATCCAACTTTCAGCGCGCGTGAGCGCAAAGGAGAACGATCGGACGCACAGTAACAGGGGCTGTTGCCTTTGATGTACAATTGGTATCAGTGGCACAAAATTCTAGACAGACTATACACGTACCCAGAAGGCCCTGTGTAACTGTTAGCATTGACTCAGATAGATAATACATGGCGCACCATATAGGGGTCAGCAAGTCTAGGTAGCTGCCGAAATTCGTGATGATATCGAACCAAAGCGAGTACGCCCCCAGTGCCGTATGCACGGCAGCAAGAACCCACAAAATGGCAATCTTCCCTGATAGTAAAAAAGGTAGGCAGCATGACTCATGAAATGTACACACCAAGAACTTCAGGCATATTCCATCCTGCTTGCAATCGCGAGAGTACATGTACACTTGCACATTGGTGACACCAAATAAGGCGGAATCGAGCAGTACACCCAGATAAAATGCTCCGAGAGTGTCGGCTAGTTCAGCAGAGAAGAAGTTGGGCATATGAGACGTGAATGACGGCAATGTCCACAGAGGCAACGACCGCTGTAGCGGACTGGACCTCGAGGTGGCTTTATAGGGGGTGTGCGATGTCAACAATAACACGCATCATAACCAGTAGAGTTTGTCCATAGCCTTCAATACGGTACTTGACATTGCGCAACGTCGCCGATGAGAAACCATCCCCCGTCGTTGGCATGTGACGTGAGATCGGAATGTGCTCTTTTGGAGTTTGTGCTGCTAGTATAGCGGCGGACATCGTTGGCGAGCGCATGATCGGGGATTTCATGATGCGCAGCACGAAATCCTACCCATTGGGTGGGAGCACGGTTGTACATACCGAGGCGGCGATGCGAAACTTCGCCATAAGAGGCCCGGGTCAAAGACATGCACGTCGGGAAAGTCACCATAGAAGGCAACGAACGCACTGCCTGTTCTAAGGCGGGAGGATGTCGGCTTCCATTTGATGAGCTATATGTTCGCAGCTGTGCTCCGCAGCCTGCGATGTACGACGGTTTCAAATTTTACCGTGGTGGTTGAGATAGCGCCTCGCGCGCCTTGCATGGTTGTCGAAGCGATGTACGATAGCAAGGATAGCCCTACTGGACCTTCGAGTCCGATGAATCCGGTCACCTATGGGTGTCCACCGCGATGCAGGGGATACATCCATGTCTCGCCAAGAACGTTCATGAACGCAAGGTGAACGAGCAGGACATCAGCGCTTCGGTGAGTACTGCAACGGTGGGCATTGGGCAGGTACTGGGTGAGGAACGAGTACTGGTCTGGATTCTTGGGATGACGCTCTTGGAGTTGAGATAGATGAATGTCAAACGACAGAGAGCCTGAGCTGGCTCCAGGTCTATCGAGCAAGCGTGAGCCCAGTACGTAATACTTGTGCGTCTCGGCCTACCACCTACCTACTGCGCGCGACGTCGACGCGTCTCTCAACTGGGCTTTACTCGTGATTACCATGAGAGGCAATGGGCATGCGTCAACGTCGAACCCAACGCCTTGTATCGGTTCTACGAACCCCTTGCCCTCTACAACTTTGACCAGCGAGGATGACGCACGACGGCTCATACGAGCGCTCGTAGCGCAGGTGGAACCGGTGATGCGAGCTCACGGACTTGTCGTGAACGACTTGGCGGAGGTACGTGCCTGCATCGAGCTATTGGGACAAGATACTGTTCGTTGACGTTAGCCTCTTGTCCGGGTATGCTCAGTATGAGTATAACGATGTCTTCGCGGGAAGGAACATGAACAGCGGCGCAAGAGTGGGTATGGCCGGCTCGAGGCTTTCATGAGAACATGTCTCGCGTTGACATCAACTCCGCAGAGCTCGTCCTTCGCCGCAAAGATGGGTCGTTCTATTCGCCTTCTTGGCTTCTGTGCACTTTATGTCATCAAGTACGTCACGAACACGCTGTCGGCACCCGTGGCCAACCTTCTGACCATGGGACCATGGCATCCACGCTCTCTCTGACAGTTGGCACACAACAAGCACAAGGACCACAGTCCTGCCTTTCAAGCTTACTGGGATCGTCTGAGGAATGATGTACGCGCTCTCCAAGCCGAGGGCCACTATGGAGACGGATTTTGGTCGTCCGGGGCGCGTCTCAGTGACGCAGCCCGCATCCCAATGGATGAGGAGATGGATGCGACGGGGCTTCCCGAGTACATCGTTCGTGCTGGGATAACCCTATACCCCGGTCTACGCTAACCTCATTTACAGTGCGGAGGGGCACTCGAACGGATTCTGTCGACCCGCAAGAAGCGGCGGAAGCGAATGGAACATGGATCCGTAGCCCGTACGGGCGCGCAGACGCCTAAGCGTCGCAAAGCAGGCGCTCGCGTCACCAAAGACTTCGGCGCAGGCGGGCGGACGTTGAGTGGAGAGTTAGAGGGCGAGGGCGACAAACGTGGTGCGGGCTTTAGGAAGCAGACCCAGAGGTGAGGATGCTGCCTCGTTTGTTGCCGAGCGAATGCCGACGCGTCACTTTGCAGTAAGACAGCTAGAGAGGAGCGTGCGGCGGCCATCGAGAGGCGGTTGGTCGCCATGCAAGGCGGCGGCGCTGTGGAACCAGCGGCGCCTCCTGGAAGCTCTCAACCGTATACAGCCTGCGAGGATTCCGGGCGCGGGTCGGAAAACGAGTCTGATACGGAGACCGTCGTCGGGCGGGAAACGGACGCGGAGCGTCGACAGGCTTTACTGGAGTCCGTCTGTCGGTCAGATCCAGACGCAGACATGAGTATGCTGAAGTCCGAGCGCCTGCTCCGTTGCTGGACCACCTCAGTAAAGCAAGATACGAGGGGAAAGGGTCAAGCGGGACGAAGCGACTTGATCGCTTCTGACGCATGTTCAGGGAAGGTCAAGCCATCCAATAGTCGAAAAGTAGCAAAGGCCAGCATGGTGAAGAGCGAGGTAGCGCTCCGTAAGAAGGAAAATCTTGGGCTTGCACTCACTAATCAGCGCAAGCAAACGATTGGCGAGGTTCCGCAAGCGCAATGGGATGCCGGTTTATGATCCTGGCTTTGATTGTGGGCGTGGGTACTTAATTCTGTCTGTAGCATTGTCCCGCCCTTGCTTCTTTGTTCACAGCATCATCTGTGAATCACCCGGTATCTCCAGTCAATACGAGGCTCCGACGCAGCAATCCTGTCTTTCACATTTTCTCGACGAGGCGCGGACACCGAAGAAGGTTGGCCTTGTTTTGGGCTGCTGAGGATCACATCAGTAGTCATCTGTGAACAACTCGTACAAGTTGCACTGGGCTTCGAGTTCTCAGCTGTGGAAGCTCGCGACTCAATCTGTCTTGATCTCCGGGCCATCACTTGAAATCAACAGGCCGCGCGGGACCTGACGAGCTGTGATTGATGGCTCATAGAACTCATAAGCTATGCATTGCTATGCAGCTCTCGCGGCAACGTCAATTCCTTTCATAAATTCACGTACTTCTGGCGCACCCCACCGCTCTTGACGCACCGAGATTGTTCAGGCCTCACAACCGCTCCGCTGCGAACCGTCTCTAATGACATCGGTCATCCAGCTACTCCTTGTCTTGCTGTACTCTTCGTCGACAGCATTCTCGACGAAGAATCACACTGCACCGCTGCCACAAGACATATTCTTTATTACGCCTCCCTCCACTGTACCCCTCAACGCAGTCGCTTGCGTAGGGTGGCAAACAGCCTCAGAAGAAGACGGCAAGCCTGCCTACTTTGGTAAGCCTATAGATCTACTTCGCGATCACGATGACTCTGCGTTAACTTCGCGCTAACTTGATTGCAGGTCTCGGCACCGATTACCACTATGTCGTCCTAGGCCCTAACAATGACGTTCTGGACGAGTTGTCGCTCCTTGCCAACATGACTGTACCGCCGAAAGATGGTCCCAGCCGATGCTGGTCGCCCCCAATCGCCTACGGCAAATGCATTCCCGTCCCCCAGTCTGGGACGTATACCTTGTCCTTGAACGTGACATACCATTTGTCGTCCAACATATCACAAGTAGACCGCACCAATCCGTGCGGGTCTGACCAATTCTCCACACAAACATTCCGCGTCAACACAACCTTCGAGGCTAGCGATACCACTACCAGTGCCAGCGCGACGATTTCCGGCGTTACATCTACGGCAACGTTCCCCACCACGCCAACTGGACTAGCGAAGACCAGTCTTAGCGGGTCAAAGGGCTTCATGCAGCCGGCGGCGTGTATGGCCGCGGTTGTCTGCGGAATCATGGGTAGCTCTGCATTCCTTTGGTAGCACAGACTGTACTGGTGATATGGGGTGATTAGTAGCTTTCGTCGCAGTGATGCATAATGTACGATTTGTAGGCCTTTATTCGTTGCCCGCGATTAAAGTAGCTTCATTCATGGCTCCGTAGTTCCGTCGAGATCCCGACAGCGGAGAGCACACCACAGAATCCGACACGCCTGCAGCCCTCCAAGCTCCAAGCCGGAAACTAGGCTTACGTAAAATTGCCTGGTTCAGACAAGGAAAGGCCGAATCGGTCCGAGATTGAGTTCCGGCGCCTATGCTCCGACCGCGGCGCCGCTGCTTCCGCAAACTCATGCTCGAGCCTCCAGTGTTCTCCCCGATGTCCCGATGACCCTCCGGACGACATACCAAACCAGAGTTCCGAAGGGTCCCGATGTCGTTGAGCGAGCAATGGCGTGTCAAGTATGCTATTAACGTGGGAACGAATACAAATACGCAATACAGCTGATCTAAATACAACGGTGCACCGTGAAAATACAACAAGCCTGTGATATGCCGGATACTGGAACAAATGCGAAGATGGGTGTGCGAGATAGCGTTGAGGACGAAAGCGGGTGCCGAGATGATGAAGCGAAACGAATAAAGTAGGTCGAATATCCAGTCGAGATGCGACGATCAACGCCAATCGAGCCCTAAGATTGGCCGAAGCGATGCGTTCATCCGTAGTACACGCTAAGAGGACGCAAGAACAGTCAGCGTCTTGCATAAAAGGGAAGAAGTGGAAGGAATGCTCACCCCCTGGCGGTCGTGCTGATCGGTGCGAAGTCCGGGCGCGCCTCGGCCACGAACTTCCGGAGGACGGCCTCCCAGTCGCTGCGCATGTCCCAGGTGATGCTGCTCGGGGGGTCGACCTCGACTGGCATGACCTGGCTGATACCGCAACATTGGATGACGACGACCAACGTGCCGATCCCGCCTGATCGACGGCAACGCTCTTCGCGTCGCTGAATGTCGTCGGCGACGATGGGATCTTGGTTGACGATACTGGCGCGGGGTACGAGGGAGGTGCCAGAGATGGAGAAGCTGGATGAGGAGTATGAGCACGTCTGTAAGAATGACGCGTAGCGATTAGATGCTCACCGACGAAGGGAATCAGCAGAGGAGTTGTGATAGTTGAGGTCGATGACCAGCGCGTATTGCCGAACATTGGCAGGAACGCGCTTCAACTGGAGCGCTTGGAAGCCCGCCCAGTTGAGCAGGTTTTGATGCGCTGAGGTGAACTTGCGCAGGTGCTTCGCGAGGCTCTCGTCGGGATATCCCGCGCCGGGCTGTTTGGTCGCCTGGATCTGGCTGGCGGTGTGCTGGCAGACGGCCTTGTGCGCAGCCCAGTTGTTCCGTTGGCATTCGGAAGACTGCGCGATCAAAGTTAGTGAGTATCCCTTGGGTGATGGAATTCACATGAACGTACGCAGTATTGCGCTGTCATGCAGCCGCCGCATAGGCGGAAGCGCGGACCCTGCGGGTTTTCGACTGCACTGCATTGATCACAGAGGCGGTAACCACGGGCGCGGTGCGCGTGCGGTGACGGAGTGAAGTAATTCGCAGCAGCGGGCTGGGAGTAGACGGCGGCCATTGTGATCTGCGCAAGCACAAAAGGGGCAGCGTAGGCGAGGTTGCGTCGAAACGAGTACCGCTGGGTGAGTCAAGATGGTCATTGTTCCGTCGTTTATATACAATCATCCCGTTGCGTGCAAGAGCAGGTTAACTGGAGCGCTCTCGTCTACGCGCTCCGTCGACCCGAGGGAGGAACACAAAAGACTATTGTTTGCTGCGCCCCGGGAAGCGACCTGTATGAACCCATAGACAAAAACCCTTGTGGATGTTTGATCGCTGCTGGAGTTCGCTAATTGTTTGGGTGTGGAGAAGCTCGGAAAGTCCTATCATGGTTCCGACACAATAAGGGACCTGGAAAGCGTGTACGTAGGGAAAGGAGCATATCGCGCCGAGAAGGGTCAAAGACAAAAGGCGCGTTGCGCACGTGATGCGCGCCTCTTGCTTCATCCTTCCCGTTTCGGACGGGCGCCGACCCCGCCGCCTTCGCATCTTCCGGAAGTTCCCTGAGGTAGCTCTCGCTCATCGAACGCTTTAACGCCAAGAACGATGTCCTTTGGGGGAGAATTCCTATTATTGTGAGGCATAAGCTCTGGTGCTTACCAACATCTCCGCTGTGGAACGACAGTGCAGACGCTCTTCTGGGTCGTGAAGTTGCTCGCACTACTCTTGCATGCGCATCACTACACGGACAGCATGACTATTCGTCTAGTTGGTCACTGCATGCCAATTTGCGCTGAGCTGGGCTCTCAGCTTCATATCGCGCCGCAAACGATTGCTCCCGCTATGGAGTCTGCTTACTGGAGTGGGGATCGGAGATTGGTCTTCCGTATGTTCAGAGCCCGCCTTCCGGCAACTTACCCATTCGAAGACGTTTCGATAGCCTCACGCTGCACGCTGGCCTGTACATATTACGTTTCTCTGTGGCGCCGTTCATCGACAGGTATCATGGCGACCCAATTGTCGTATCAGCTCCCGAGATCTACATTCCGTTCCCTCGTCGCCGTAAGGACTCTCCGATCTTGTCCCTGTCAGGATCGGAGCAGTCTCTGAACATCAATGAATAGTAGAAATGACCGTCATGAATTCTCCGAACATGGGAGCATCTGTGCAGTGAGATCGAGCTACACGGATCCGCCCTGCCAACTGCTCTCTCCTCTTGGAGTGGCACACGCAGAGCAGGCCAAATGCCCGGGATTATTCCGTCTATCATAACGCTCGTTATCGTAGGCACTGCAACAAACGTGGACAGGAACTCACAGGGTGCACACAGCACATTGCCATTCCGCGTCATCCTCCTCTTCCGGGGCGATCGCCGTTGCCGTCCGCGGCGAAGGTCCTGCTACGTTGCCCCCGGGGACGTCGTTGTAATCGAACGGAATGGCAAACGAATCTGCCTTCTCCTGGGTCCGCTTGCCCTCGCCATGAGGAGCGGAGTCTAATCGCACGAAGTGCCCCCAGTAGTCTAAAAGATTTTTGGACTTCATTTGGGTTTTCTCAATTCCGCCTGGCTCGGCCTGTTTGAGAGAATCGAGCAGTGCGTTCCGCCTTTCTGCGTCCGTCTCGGGTATCAACTCTTCGGATTCGGATTCGGAGTCAGTCGTAGGATCGTCGTTATCTCGGTTTGGTCGCGAAGGCCCGCTACCTAGTACTCACGTCAACGTGTCGTCTAGCTCCCTCTCCGACGCAACCTTACCTGTTTTTAAAGCAGCCAATCGCCTCTCGATGGCTGCTGCACGTTCATCTCGCGCTTTCTTACTGGAGACGCGGATGTGAGCGTCTACTGTACTCATGCGTGGCACAGTACGTCTGTGGCTCACCTGCGAGCTTGCTTTCCGAAGCCCGTACCGCGCTTCTTCGCGTCCTCATCTAGGTCGTCGTTCAACGCCCGACCGCCTGATCCAAAGTCCTTCGCGACGCGCGAACCCGCTTTTCGGCGCTTCGTCGTCTGCGCTCCCGTCCTGTCTGACGGCCCCGCGATCGCGCGTGGGCGGCGTTTCCTGCGGGTAGGGCGAGCACGCGTTTGCGCGCCGCCGCACTGGGAACGAAGACGTTCGCGTCAATATATGATGTTGCTTGACCGATGATGCGACATACCATGTATTCAGGTAATTCCCCTGGATCTAACCCTTGGCCCGACGTACGAGCCGCGTCCGCCAGACGGGTCCCTGACGACCAGAAGCCGTCGCCGAAATACCCCTTCGCTTGAAGTGCGCGGACCTCGTTCCTGAGACGCGCCCAGAGCGCTTGAAATGCGGGGCCGTGATTCATGTGTTTGATGTGCGCCAACTTTGCAAGACGGCAGAGCTGGTCAGGGGCTTGCGACGATCCTTGGAGAAGAGGTACGTACTTCGTGACATAGCGTGCTCATCAGCCAGGAGGACGGGTAGAAAGATCCATCGGGTCGGCGCAGGACGATCTCTGCCAGTCGATGAGCGAAGGACGTCCCGAAGGTGCAAACTGGGCGTACCTACGGTCTCGCCGTTGTTCCAACTCCTTCCCGCGAATACGGCGTTGTACTCATACTGATTCGGCAGGATCAGAGCGTGGTCTCCGGGCTGAAAGGCGATTGCGTCTCGTACCTCTTCGAAACTGTTGATCATGAACCCATGGGCCTTCATGACGGGCTTCACCTGGGCCGCAAGCGCTCGCAAGAGCTGCATCGCATCTTCCTGGGACGGAGACGACGTCGGGAGAGCCGTTATGAAGTTAATATGCGGATTCGGATTTGATTCGCGCTCGTTGAGTCGAATGTGCACCATAGCCGACGATCAAGTTGACTCCAGCCACTGAGATGAGTCTGAAGTTGCAGTCATCATGAGCATGGCCTGAACCACGTGGAGCGGTTATATATAGACAGCCATTGGAACGCGCAGACCGTCAATTGCATCGGGGCGTATACAGGGTGTCGAGGGATGCTATGGTCTGATATCAACCGCCGCGCACGCGGTGGGTTGTGGTACCAAGGACTGCTCGCCAGCACGTACTCGGTCAGCGCGTTATAAGCGCTCGCCGCGTGCTATTTATATACGACCCTGAGCCTGTCCAGCGCGCGGTCTCCGTTGCCTGGTCAATCGTAGAGAGATAGTCATTTGTCTAGTTTACATGTATCACCTTCTGTCTGTCCCTCTTACAGCTTTGAGAGCACCCTTTCGTGCACTTTCTTCAGCGCGTCCAGCCCAGGTTCCACTCTCGGCCAGCCTACACCTAAGCCTTCCTTCTCCCTAGGCTTAGGAATGAGATGGAAATGAACATGGAAGATATGCTGAGAGAGACCGTCGGCTGCGAACTCTTTAAGCGACAGGGGACTGACCTGATGCGCAATCCTTCCATTGTTCTGATGATAAGTTCATGAGTCGGATAAGTCAATCTCCGATAAACCCAAGCGGCACCTGAAGAACGTTGTAATTCTCGATACCGAGCGCAAGTGCGACCTTCTTGGCCAGGGGGAGGATATCCATGAGATAGCCATCCGGCACCTCATCCATCGTCTTGCAATGATCTGGACCACCTCCCTCCATCAGCATCACACAGAACGCGAGCATACGGAGAACCTCGCATTTAGGTACGATCAAAGTATGACCCTCGGCGACAGGACCGATGTCCAAGAAGACGAGACTGCCGCTGGTCGTTAGCGTATGCGTACCGGATTTGGCAGATCCTACGTTTTCTCCGTCTCCAACACTTTCAGCACCGGTATTTGCCCTATGATACACGTGAACGCGGCCTAAAACACAACGAGCGATTCACACCAACCTTTTATCATGGCGCATAACAAACAGCTAGCAACATCGCGTGAGCGCCTTCGAAAGATCCGATCTCACTGCACATACTCGTCCTGGAGTGCGGCCATGTTTCGTGGAGATAGGTAAGAGTATGATGAGAGAGCAAACACTCTTCGAAGTTGATTTATGTACACCAGAAAAAGTGCCGAGATGCCCGAGTTTGCTGTCTCCAACTCTTAACACAGACTTCATTCAATCCAGCACTCCGAGTCGACTGAATGGTGCTTCGAACTGCTTCTTGGGGCGTCCATTGCCGCGATCATTATTCGCATAAGCTGGTCAGCACCATCAACCGAGGGCAATTGAAAGAACCATATTTCATTTCGAAGGGCACAAGCGCCATGGAACAGAACAGAACCTTCGACGTCGTGCCGGCCGGCGAGCGAGGACGGAAAGAAAGGCACGCGCCGCCACGTGCGCCATCATTCACGCCGCTCGATGACTCTCCCTTCAGCCACCACCGCGTCTGCATCATACGAGGACGATCTTTGTACTGGCGCAAAGCACGATCCAAAACGCAGGGTCGTGGCTGGCAGACTGTCAAATAAACCATCGCACCAGCTTAACGCTCGGCCTGTTCATCAAGCCCTCGTTTGGCCTCGTTCAGACATTCACTCGTGACTTGGTAGTTTACCTCTCAGTCAACTTGAGCTTGAAGGATCCCGCATGGCGAGCAGTCCGTCATTCATCTTGTCGATCAGCACCAAGCTAAATTCTCATAGCAATAAGGAGAGGGAAGCCAAAAATCGTGGGTCCATCTTGTCTTCATGCGCGGCCTCGTGCTAATTCCGTCCGCAGAAACCTCCGAAGAAGGTACTGAATTGCACCACCCTCCGTTTATCTCTGTCTCACGTTCACGCATAGCACGGTCCAGATGTTCCTATCGAAGATATATGGACGCAGCTCTCCAATAACATCCGCGAAATCCATAAGCAGAATGCCTCTCGCTTGTCCTTCGAAGAAAACCACCGCTTCGCATACAACATCGTGCTCTCCCGCAAGGGTGAAATGCTATATAACGGCGTATGCGACTTGGTGGTAGAAAATCTGGAGAATTTGGCGGCGGAACAAATCATACCGGCGTTCCCGACGGGTAACAAGGACGATCTGGTCGAGCAAAGCCAGGAGTGGGAGCTCTTGCTCAAGGCACTTCGGAACGTGTGGGACGAGCATCAGGCCAATATGTCGAAGCTCAGCGACATCCTGAAGTACATGGTCTGTCATCCGCTCTCCTCACCTACCTAGTCTCATCGTTATACCAGGATCGTGTTTACACAAAAAACGCAGGTGTTCCCGAGATATGGGACGCAGGCATGAACCTCTTCCGCAAACACATTCTCCGCCCCCCAATACAACCCCACCTCGTCACAGCCATACTGCAAGAAGTACGGCTCGAACGCGACGGCTTCACTATCAGTCGGTCAGCGGTCAAGGGCTGCGTAGACGTGATGCTCCAACTCGACGACGACAAAGGAGAGATCATCTACAAACGTGATCTGGAACCCGTGCTGCTGAAAGAGAGCGAAGCGTACTACAAAGCGGAGGGCGAAAAGCTCATGGAGTCGTGTGATGCCCCCGAGTACCTGCGTCGGGTAGGTTTGCTCTATTTTCCTTCACGCGATCATGCTGAGAAGGTCAAAGGCAGAAGATCGTTTCGTCTCCGAAGAACTCCGTGCCATCCACTACCTCTCCAACCAGACCGCCGCTCCCCTCCAAAGAATTCTCGAATCCGCCCTTCTTACCCCACACCTGCAGGCCATCATCGGTAACCGCAACTCCGACCTGGACGTAATGATCGATACCGACAGGAAGACCGATTTGGCTCGATTATACAAACTCTTCGTCAAGGTCCCGACCGGTTTGCCCTGCCTTCGACGCGCGATCAAGGATACCCTCGCCACGCGGGGGAAAGAGATCAATTCTCTGGGTGCGGTCTCGGGTTCCGGAACCGCAGATGGTGGCGAAGGCGATGATGCTCCCGAACCTACTGGAAAGGGCAAGGGAAAGGCGGGGCCACCAGGCGCACAGTTGTTACAAGTAGCTCTGAAGTGGGTTGAAGACGTCCTCGCCCTCAAGGACAAGTTCGACACCATATGGACAGATTCATTCGCGTCAGATCGCGATCTCGAGGGTGGCATCAACGAGGTATCGCCCGTTTTTTTTTTTCGCTGGTACGACGCTCCATTCACCCGGGGAGCATTTCCTAGGCTTTCGAGTCGTTCATCAACCAGAACGAAAGGGCCCCGGAGTACATCTCGTTGTTCATCGACGAAAACCTCAAGAAGGGTCTGAAAGGCGTGAGCGTTCTTCCACCTGCCTTCCTATGCTTTTCCGCTGATATATCGCTATTCCAGAAAACCGACGAAGAAGTTGAGGCTGTCCTGGACAAAACAATTACCGTGTTCCGTTATGTCACGGAGAAGGACGTCTTCGAGCGATACTACAAGGGTCATCTCGCGAAGCGCCTGCTCCTCGGGAAATCGGTCTCGGACGACGCGGAGCGCGGCATGCTCGCCAAGCTCAAGGTGGAGAGTGGGCACCAGTTCACTCAGAAGCTCGAGGGCATGTTCACCGACATGAAGGTTTCTGCCGACACCATGGCCGCATATCGGACATATCTCAACAGCAAGGAGGCAAGCGAATCCCATAGTTATCCTCCTGCGCGGTTAATGTTCATCTTTCCCTTACCACCAGGCGCCCGACGTAGATATCAACGTGATCGTCATGACGTCCACTTACTGGCCGATGCCGCAACCTTCACCGCAGTGCAACTTGCCGCTTGCGCTCACCGAAGCCAGCAAGGTGTTCGAGAAGTTTTATCTGGGCCGTCATTCTGGTCGCCGGCTAACGTGGCAACCTTCGCTCGGCAACGCGGACGTGCGCGTTACCTTCAAAGCAAGGAAGCACGATCTCAATGTGTCAACCTTTGCCCTGGTGATATTGCTACTCTTCGAGGATCTCTCGCAAGATGAGTTCTTGACGTATGAGGTACGTCCCCTCCCCACCCTCTCCCAGAGTAGATCGACACTAATGCCGTTGGCGACCTTCCGTAGGAGATCAAGACCGCGACTGCGATGCCAGAACAAGAGCTCCAACGGAATCTCCAATCACTTGCGTGTGCCAAGTACAAGATCCTCAAGAAGCACCCGCCGGGACGAAACGTGAACCCCGGAGACTCATTCTCGTTCAACTACGACTTCACCTGTAACCTGCAGAAGATCAAGATTAGCACCGTCTCCAGCAGGCCAGAGTCGACCGAGGAGCGCAAGGAGACGAAGGATCGGATCGAGGAGGAGCGAAAACACCAGACCGATGTCAGTCGCATTGCATTTTTCTTTCTACTGCGTGTTCTGGTGCTGAGGCGACTTTACCGCAGGCTTGCATCGTCCGGATCATGAAGGATAGGAAACACATGACACACAATGACCTAATCAACGAAGCTACACGACAGTTAGCTAGCAGATTCCAACCTCAGCCTCTGGACATCAAGAAGCGGATCGAGAACCTCATCGAGAGGGAGTACCTGGAGCGATGTTCGGATAGGAGGTCATACAACTACCTTGTAAGCGACAACCAATCAACCAATAGGATAAATGCTGATGCCCAACATCCAAGGCGTGACATATTGACTGGCCGTTTCTCACTTGCACACCCATTTTTGCACCCCCTGTATCAAATCACAATGTACTCAAGCAAATCACACCGTGTTGTACGAACCCTGAGGCCTGAATGCGTGCAGCACCTTGCGAACTCAGCAGCACAAGATTGAGAGGCTTTGGGACAATTGATTTGACATGAAAGGAATCTGTATACAGGTGCGGCCCAGCGGTATACATATCCCCGTGCAGAAAACTCTGCTGTACCTACCTTTGCTGGACATCTTTTGGAACAACTTGGAGTGATAGGGTACGGCCAATGTCGGTCGTTGGTCTAGGCAGCGAGCGTCGGCCCCGTGCTTGAGGGGGGCTCTGTAGCTTCGCCATGCCAGGATGATCTGGGTTATTTGATTTTGAAAGCCCTCTATGCCCGGTGCAACGTATTGCAGGACTGCCAATCCAGAAGTCATGAGCCGCCAATGGCGTCAAAACGTTCGTGAGCAGGAACTCACACTTCAAAAGTGCAGGCGCCTCAGCAACGTTGCTCATGAAGGTCTCGCGTAGCTGCACGTAACAAAGCCGCAAGCACAACGTGCGCAGCTCCCAAGGCGAAGGGATGCAAGTTACAGGTTACCGGCTATGAAGCCAGTAGTTCTGCGACCGTAATGTGGTCCAAAGAGCATTATACGCCCCATGGACCCGAGTGGCGGCTACTATCGTCCTGAAAGAGGTGTAGATGAGAACCTTATCACTGTATCATGGAGGTTCAAGTACGTACCGCCGCTCGGCGCACCGACACGAGGAACCCCGTCACCGATGCGTCTTGCCAACCTATGGATCCCCTGCGATTACGAGATCGTTCAGTCAGTTTCGACGCAGAGGTGATTTTGTAGCGTCGGCGATTGCTCACGATCGGGATCGGTGGGAAAGGGTCCAAAGACAAGGAAGGCATTCCGCAAGACGCGTGTATATATAAGTAGGCTGCCACGTTGTTTTAGGGTGGGCGTCGTTCGGTCTTAACCTCTGCTCTGGACATCAAGAAACGGAAGGAGAACTGCGTACAGAGAGAGAGAGAGTACCTGGACGCTAGAGCGATGTCCATATAGGAGATCATATGTATAAGAATATCGTCTGACGCCCATCATCCAAGGTGCGACATATCAATCGAGTAGGCATTTCTGATTTGCGCATCCATTATTTGCATCCCCTGTATCAATTCATAATCCGCTCGAACAAATCAGAGTGTTGTACGAAACCCCGACTGCACGCAGACACCTTGTGGACTCAGCAGCACACGATTGAGAGCCTTTGGGACAATTGATTTGATATGAAAGGAATCTGTATACAGACAGATGCAGCCCGACGGTATACGTGATCCTATGCGCAGAAGTTTCTGCTGTACCTACCCCTGCTGAACATCTTTGGAACAGCTTGAAGAGTTATATGGTCCGGTCGACTTCGACCTTTGGTGTGGGCAGCGAGCGTCGGCGCGATTGGCAGGCCGTGGCTTCGTGGTGCCGCGATGATCTGGGTTATTTGATTTTGAGATGAGCCCGTGTTCACGGGCGCAGGGAGCTCGTCGCCTGACTAGATACGATGATCCGGATGTTAGTCTAGCAATTGGTTGTGCAGATCACTCGAGGTACTCACGACTCGAAGATAGGTGCTGTTCAATGCAACCACTGGTCTTAGAAATCCTGCGACAACCGCCCTATGTAACGCGCTTGTCGCCACCGGGTGGGGACAGGCGGGATACACCATACAAATCACGCGAAGAGCCCGGAGGGCAAAGTCTCGTGGTTCGACGTTGAGCAATCCGACCGACAACGGCTAGGATACTGATAAGCTGGTGGTTGCAATCGTGACATACGGGGGCTTACTTGGTCGCTCATCACGAACAATCGCGACAGGGAACCCTGACGAGATTGGACGCGTGCTTACAGACCTGCCGACCACCCTGGGATCGACAATCGGTCATCATCATGCAAAGGTGGCACAGCGAATGAAGGCGCCTTACTTTGGGGATCGATAGGAAAGGGTCCAAGGACGAGGAACACACGCTGCGTGAGACGCGTGTATATAGGGCCGCTCAGTTCCCTTAGGGTGGGCCTCTATAGTCTCCGATGGGCACGGAAATGAAGTGCCTGGCGCGCGTACATACAGTCCGCGGCCGATAACAGGGTATACAGCATTAATTTATGGTTTGTCTACGTCTACGTGTGGTAGAGCCGGCTATAATTCATCCTTACGACGGGTTCCTTCCTCCTCGTCGTAGAAGATCGCGGTGAGCTCTTTTTATAAAACGTTGTTGAGGACTTAAGAGCAGACCCAGAGTGACATGAGAGACGTACTTTTCTTCAGATCGGGAGATATCTGTGTAGGCAGCACGACGTTGTATTCCACGAAAAGGTCGCCGTGGTGCGATTCTCCGAAAACGGGCATACCCTCGCCCTTGATGACCTGTACAAAACCTGGTGCGCCACGTTAGCACACTAAGGGGAATCGAGGACAGAACAATTGACTTACCAGGTTGCGTTACAGCATCCCTCTTCAGCGTCACGACGTGTCCGTCCAAATGTGTCAAGTTGCGCTCAAACCCGAGCAACGCCTCGTCCACGCCGATCGTCTCCTTCCAATACAAGCTGCTCTCTTTCCTCCTCCACCCGCCCTTCTCCTTCTTGCTCCTCACGCGCAACACCACATCTCCCGGCTCCCAATCCGGGCTCTCGTCTCCCTCGCCCTCGAACACGACCTCGTACCCCTCCGGCATGCCTTTCAGCACCTCGAGCTCGAGGCCCATGACCTGGTCGAGCACCTTCTGGCCCTTGCAGTGATCGCACTGCTTCGCGATGACCTTCCCCCGCCCGCCGCACTGGTCGCACGTCTGCTGCGACTGCGCGAACATGCCGGGGAAGATCTGCTGCTTGACGATTTTGACCCCCGAGCCGCCGCAGCCAGAGCAAGTGTGGATGTCGTGCGTCGAGGCGGCTCCGGTGCCGCGGCAGTGGTCGCAGAGCACCTTCTTGCGTATCCGGAACTGGAAGCGTGAGGGTCAGACACTCTCCGTGGCAGACAAGAGCGAGGGGGAAACGTACGTCGATGGTGGCTCCGGTATACCTGGAGGGGTTTGTCCCATCACGTTAAGATCGACGAAAAGGAGATCACGGGAATAAGGATGCTCACATATTTTCGAGCAGTACTTCGAATTCGCTTACAGAGGTGGGTCCACGGCGAACCTGCTGATGTTGTTCTGTAGAGACGTAGCACTATTCGTGAGAACGGAACAAGTTATTAATACTGAAAACGCACGTCCACCGCCGCCGAAGAAATTGGAGAACATGTCGAACGGATTGGCGTGGAAAGGTTGGCCGCCTTCATGCGCTTTCAGGCCATCCTAGTTGACCGGTTCAGTCAGGTACATCAAGACGAGAAATGGGAGCCGACCTCGCCATGTCTATCATATATTTGACGTTTCTGGGTAGGTGGGGTAGATAAAATGCCCGTCACGATACGCTGGAGACGCCACTTCAGGAGCGTCTTACCTCGGGGTCAGATAGAACCTCGTAGGCTGTCGAATGAAAGTGTTCATGAGGACCCAGTCCTTCGTTACATTCATAGGACATACCACGCGCGATTTCCACAAATCTTTCCTCCGCATCTGGGTCCTTGTTCTTGTCCGGATGGTACTTGCGGCTCAGTTTCTTGTACTGCCTCTTGATATCCCGTTCATTGGCAGACCTGTCCACTGCGCAACAATGGACGCGATCAGCCATACTCTTGTGCCAGGAGTATCGTCGTCACTGACCGTCCAGGACCTTGTAGTAGTCTGCCGCGGTAACAAGAAGGGCGCATACGAGCAAAGCGAATATACGGAGAGCCAATGACCAATACATCGCAGCCAAAGACGAGAGAAGCCGTAGGAAACCTCGCTGACCCGGAGCTCTTCACCGAGTAAGTACTTGACTTGCTGCTGCAGTGCTTGTCGTTGCAGCGATTTGGATACGTGTCTTTCAATGAGTCACGCGCTTTGCACGTGGACGCTGTGCAGTGTTTCAGTGACTGCGCCCGCGCGTCATTTGCTCCGACGCTATAGCTTTGCACAGGGAAGCGCAGCCTTACGGCTGATCTTCTATCATATATAAAGTGTGCTGAACATACCTCAGCGCTCGATGCCATCTCACTCACGACGCCGGAGCGGTTCTTCATCGTCGTCCAGCTCGTCGTCTTCGTCCTCGTCGTCGGACAGCGACTCGCGCCATAACAAGTACAAGAAGAAAGCTTCCAAGAAGCACGAGAAGAAAGGACACAGCATGGAATACGGGCAACCCCACTATAATAACTCGGGCTACGGAGAGCTTGCTGCTCCATCCTTCCCTCAACTCTCTCCAGGCTTTCCGAGAGAAGAGCATCTCGGTCAACCGCAATATCCCGCTGAGCACCACCAGCAAGACCCGTACGCGGCTGCCCACCCGCAAGGGCCGTACCCCGGCGCTCCTGCAGACTTATCGAACCCGTTATCGCCTCACATCTTTCAACCGCAAGTTCATCCCAACTTCCCCGGCCCCACGAGTCCCGACGCCCAACGGAACCTGATGGACTTCGGCTCTCAAGCCCACCTGCCGCCCCCAGCGGCGCCAGCCCAGCCGCCGCCATCCGGGTACCGCGTTCCTCTCTCTGACACGACGCCCTTTCCCTCGCCCCAATACACCGGCGAGCCGCCATGTTTCGATGCCGACGGTTCGCCCGTCTTCATCGGCAGCGCGCTCATGGAGAAGTCCGTGCACCCGTGCAAGATCGCGCCGCACCTCCAGCCGCACTGCCGCGTCCCGTACGGCGGCGGCGAATTCGAGCATCGCGGCCGTTTCGATCTACTCCCGTTCTCGCCCAACCTGATGGAGTGGGTCCCGACGCAGGGCGGACATGTGCCGCCGGGCAGGAGGCCCGTGGAGGGCGGATACGAGGAGAACGGCGCGAAGCTGTACCATGCGCTGGGCACCATCAGCGGCGTCCACGTCCCTGGAAAAACGGGAGAGCACCTCGTACGTTGCATGCATGATGTCAATGAACGTGACCTCACTCTTGCACGGATTACAGGGAGGAGCGAACATTGCATTCGGCGGCGGCGAGCACGTCGTGCGGGAGTACTCCATCCTGTATGTCATTCCCACTCACCGGTCGATTCCTATTTGTTCTGACACTTCTTTTTCCAGATGCTGGAAGTGATGCTCCGTTCAAGGGCTATATTGAAACTCGGGAGACAGTCAATCGTGTACTAATTCCCTCATATTCGGGTCAATGTCTCCGAGTCAATGTATCAAGAGTACTTTCAATCAATGTGTCTGGAATTCGTGCCGAAGAGATATCTTCTCGACCATGCACGCCTTTATACTGAGCATAGCGATGTGCGGCGGCGATCCTTCCCGGACAGGATTCGACAGTTGGTGGCCTACGTAAGACTATCTGCTCCTCCTGGAATCTCTCGCCTTCCTCCATATTGAACTTTATTGAAGCTTGATAATGCAGCTTGCCGCTCACGGATGGTCAGAGGAAAGGGCGAGGGTAAGTAGTTGCTGTAAAGGGGCACGCGGATTTGTAGTGCCGCCCGGACGTGGGAGTGACCGGATCAGCGCGCCCGAATTCTCATGCCACGATGCTCTTTCACGAAAGGCGGTATCGAGTGCGATTAGAACCAGAGCCATCGCGAAAGGAACGAGACGATGTGGATGCGATGACTCCGGAGATGGAGACGGACATAATACTGAAACGATGCGCGCACTAGCGGCGATGCCGACTTCACTCGTCACGTACGTGCGCGGTGGCCTAGCGATACTCACACTCGCCGTAGCGGATTTATCAGGATTCGCAATGCAGCCTTCATATGTGATGTTACATAGCATAAATTTCCTGCAGAACGTTATAAAATACAGGTGGGAGGATGCGACATCTCATTCATCCCAGGTCATGCATATATTCCAGAGTAAAAAAAAAGTCGTGTATGCCGGTCGGGGCAATTCCGGTCAACGAGGTCGCATATACTGACCATGAGTTGAGAACAGGAAGATATAACCGGCACACGGTTATCTATTTCCGTGTTTGTGGATGTGGTGCGCTTTTGGGATTACCGCGAGCAGGTATCGAGGTCTTCCACGATGGTGGTCTAGTTTGTTCAACCCCATCAGCGCTCGGAGGGCACCACCGATCCAACATAAGAAACATGCTTACCCTGACCGCAGCCCAGTTCGCGACCAACGTCGAGACACGTTCGCGGAACGCCATCCTGCACTGCGCGCACACGAGGCCATCGGCCAGGGGATTCATCGCCGCCCGGATCTCGGAAGCTGTGAGGCCTGATCGATGCGATCAGCACATAGACACCATCGGCGCAACATGAAAAGCAGATACTGACTCGGCTTCGAATCCCAGCCTATATACGCGCACGCCAGCGCCCACGCGCGCGTGAGCTTCATCTGTTCCCCGGTGCTACAGACGGGGCTGGGCGGGTGCTGCTCCGGCGGCGCGAGCAAGAGGCGCTTCAGCGCGTCCGTCCGGCCGAGGTGGAGGAAGAACAGGCGGCGGAGATACCGGGCCCCCATGCGCTCCGCGAGTGCGTCGTCGACGCTCGGGAGCGGGAACGCGTGCAGGTGCGCAGAGGTGGCGACCGCGAGGCTCATAAGGTTATAGGCGCCCGCGAGGGCGTAGACGTCCATCGGCGCGTAAGCGTTCGCGAAGAGGTCGAACGCCGCGCGGCCGGGAGCGACGGCGGAGCGGACCGAGAAGCCGTACCGGGGGAGCGCTTCGAGCGCGCGCTCGGCGTGCGCGAAGGCGGGCGAGTAGTGCGCGCAGCAGAGGTCGTAGATAAAGTGCAGGAGGGCGTTGAGGACCTGAGCGTCCTCGGGTATGTAGACGACGCAAGGAACGCTGGGGTCCGGGTTCGTCGCAGGTAGCAGGGAGTCGAAGTGGTTGCTGGAGTTGTTGAGAACGCTGGAGTGGGCGTAGAAGAGGGCGAGGTCCCTAGAGACGAGGACGACATCTTCGGGTCCGGCGTCGAACGGGGCGCCGGGATAGAAGGCGGTAGAGACGGGGATCGATGCGCCCGTCTCAGCCGCCGACGTGGGGACTAGCGGGTCGTCGATGATTGCGGCCTGAGAGACGCGGCAAAGTCCCGATTCAGCGTCCCGACGACCAATTTCGGAGGTTTGTGTGGCCAACGGCGCGTTCGGCTCTCCCGGAGTGTGCACGAGGTTGAGGATTGCGTCGAGGGTCCAGTCACGCTGGAGCAGCGCTACGTCGGGAGCACGGGCGGGGAGGATGTCAGGTGCAGGCGTTGAATGCGAATGAATCATATCAAGGGGGTGGAGAGGGGGCGATCGGAGACGAATCGTGTCCTGCCCAATCCTGGCCAATGCGTTTAAGTACCTTCGCATTCCGAGGGGCGGGCGGTTTGGTGGAGTATGGTCGGGGGAAGAGCATGACGACCGTCGCCGTTGTCCGGGATGTTGTCTCGGATGCAGAGTACTTATGATCCATGGGCGTGGCGGGCAATGTCCGACAAAGGCATTGGTAAGACCCACGAGGCTGGAAATGATCAAGAGACCGGGCGAGGTCGTGTACCTAGCTCAGGGAAGTCGTGCTCCTGGTTCAAGAAGATCAAACGAGCTATAGGGAAAGTATCAGTTCCGCCGGTCGACGTGTATCGCAACCCCAACCGCACTCACAGTGACGCCGACAGTTTCTACCCTGTTTGCCATTCGATCACGACGCCTCGAGGTAGGGAGCAGGCACTTCGATGATCCTCTTATCACGTTGAACGCCGCCAACGTCCTGGACATATGCTATAGGAAGCGCTCGGTGGAGAGGGTTTTTGGCGACGTACCCGCCAACCTCTCGGGCAATCTTGCTTTGTGTTCACACACGGTCCGCAATGTCGCCGCGTTTTTTTATGATGGGGTTTCCCACTGGATGACAACTTCGCCAGAAGAGGGGCATGTACTACGCGTCGTGTACGGTTCCGGAGTTCGAGTAGCATGGTCGTCGGCGCGCAGGTAGGTGGTAATATCATTATTATCCCCAGCCTGAGAGGAATGAGGTAAAGGTCCAGCCCGTGGTAGGTTCGGCCCTCTTCAGTCTTCTTCTGACCGTGGGATGGTCTTCGTATGTGACAGTCTACAGAACATTGTAAGTTGTAACGTGCCGGTTCTCCCGGAGGTCGACCGAGACCATCTTTCCTTTTCGAGCAAGTCGGCGCTGGCGCGCCGTTCCCCTTTTGATTATCATTCTACGACCACATGCTCCATCTGACGACGACGAGGGTATAAAGTCAAGCTACCTCGTCGTCTGGAGCTCACCTTTTGGTACCCTATTCTACCTTTACTCGAGTGCTCAAATACGAGATCTGTGACTCTCTGCTTTGTGCCGCTCGAGAACCTAACCGTGTGAATGCACCTTAGCCTTATCAGGCTTTGCTCGCGTCACATATTTTTGAGAGAAGATCTCAGTGAGTATTCTTTAGCCGCTCTTAGTCGCTTACTCCTTTGAATAGGTAACTACCTGGTCTGATCACCCAGGTACGACCTTACATCGGACGCGACGACTACGAGCAACCACAACCTCAAGTAATCGCATTATACCCTTGACATCATGCCGGTGTCTAGGGATGAGACGATGGGCCAGTGGGTCCGTCGTGACCGAAGGGCCGATGGCGTCGCTGACGCCGGACGCCCATCGGATGCTTCTGCTGATGGACGGACCGGAGCGGCAGCTCGCGGTCCTCCTGATGTCCGTCTTCCGGTAGCGTCTGACCGTATGTTGGACGTCGGAGGATCCCCGTTGACGGCTGATGCTCACGCGTCTGGCCTAGGGGCTGAATCGGGGGTGGGACGTTGGTTCGATGTCCCTACCGATATGCAGATGCCGCGCGACGAGTCGCGTAGGGCGAATGCACATGTAGGACGGGACCCTGGGGTGCTCAAGGCTGAGCCGCAGTGTCACGTGTCGGATCTTGGACCGTAACCGGGCCAAGTACGATAGCTCCGGTCGTTCCGGGTTGTCCGCCATCGGAGTAGCAGCTCCGGTACCGGACCTACGTTATCACATGAATAGTCCTCCGGCGACTCAACGTCCCGGTAGTTCTCGAGTCATAACGGATTCAACTCCGACGTTCACGACCGATATGCCTTTTACGGTTTGATATTCCCTTCGGACTTATTCTACCTCCGATTATCAGTTCGTAACCATATGCTCCGTCCTTACGATTGACAGTTCCACATGGTTCATAGTTCCGATAACTCCTTATTCCACATGGTTCATAGTTCCGATAACTCCCTATCGATACGAGCTCCGAACCGTGCCTCCGCGTATATAAACTCCTAGCTCCTGTACTCTAACTCCTTAGTTCGAATATCGACTAAGTTACTCCTCTGCTCCGACACGGACTTAGAGCGCGTAGCGACTCAAGCCTTAAAGCTTGAGTCTGGTCCGTACTCGCACTCACTCTCTGTATCTCGAAACTCT